TAGAGAACAAGTTGGCAAAGTTGACAATTCGCGGCTCTTTCTGCAACTTCGCTCAGCGTTCCGAGAGCAAATCGCTCGTTCAATTGTCGCAACGATTCAATGTCCGGCTCCGCTGCTAGCCATCTGTTGCTCCTTATTGAGAATTTTTCCGGACTGAGATGGAGTGTCTGGCATCGCTCGCAAAGCTGGTTGGCCATGATCGGCTTCAGGTGATAATGGGTGACCGGATTGTCTTTCAAAACAATAAGCTGATGCTGGGAGTTGATGGACGACTTGACCCTACACAGGAAATATTGAAGAACTAAATACACGATTCAATCGTCTATTTAGAATAACATATCCAATTGCTTCATGGATTGACACAGCCCAACCGCCGTATACACTAAATTACCTTGCAAATCTCATGAGGCTATACCATAGGGGTGCTTCCTCATCAGGCAACCAGAATCCGCCACAACCTACTGGAAGGACTTTTGTGTATGGGAGGATATGCTCGTAAAAGTGATTATAGGAGAATTGATAATGCGGGTGTAGCGCCTGAGAAAGATTGTGACAAGGCGAAGCTAACTAGATTCAAGAGAAGACAAAATTTCATTGCAGGAGACGATTGAACCCATCTCACAATCTAACCGAGTCAAACTACAAATCAAGACGAGTAGGTCCATCACGCCATGATGAACGCAAGTTGGGCGTTGCCGGGTGGGAAGAACCTGTGATGCGTCAGCCTGATAGTAGGGCGTTCGGCGAGAGGCTCAAAGAAAATGATAATACGACGCAAACCTTGAGACTATACTCCGTAAATGCAAGATTACAGTGCATTAGGTCAGGCATCTTCAAGCCGCTGACGAACGAGACTTGAAGTGAAGCCTCCTTTCAGCCTCTGCGGCAATGGCTTGAAGATGCCTGACCTAATGCACTGTACTTTTGCATTTTATTGGAGTAAGGTGTCAGGGGGTTTGCGTCATATCATCTCGTCGATGGGGAGCAAGCCAGTCTCGCCTGTGTTTCCTTAGACACAGTCCAACTCAGTGCCATCCTTTCTTGGTTAGGGCGATCTTGAGCTGGAGGCCTCCGGGGCATTGATTTAGCAGCATGCATTGTAATTTGGAACCTTCGTCTTGCTAGGGAAGAACAGGTGTGAACTGCGCTGGCAATGGACACTGGTGGCAAGTGGGGTGCATATGCTTCGCCTAGTAGCCTGCACAGAAACTACACTACTTTTTCCTGCCCAGCTTACCCGGGCGTCAAGAATGTGGCATTAAAATTGAATCAATAATGTCACACCACCTCAGCAGCGCAAAGTGAGGGGAAGAAAGGGGCCAGTAAGAAGGAGAGTGTAAGATACGTTAGATTCGACAACAGCTAGGTGGATTAATAATGGTAAGAATTGCCCAGTGCTCACTCAGTGGCAAGCCAACATGGCTGTTATGATAGACTTTAGGTGTTGATTTTTGAGTGGGCTCCTTTCTCGCCCTTCGATGAACTTTATTGCCATCAGTAAGATTGCTTCAATTCGTGGCTAGAATATTTGTGCCTCATCACGTGGCGGCACCGAGCCACAATTGCAACAACCGACTACAAGTAGGAGCGTATCAGCCAGCCAAAAAGGGCATCGGCCTTCTGCAAAATGAGCTTGGCTGCTTATCCACAATCATCGGCAGAATAGGACCGCCGTCGAGCCGCAATTACTCGCCTGTACCTCGTCGAAGACCGGACACTCAAAGAAGTGCAACAAACCATGGAGACTGAGTTTGGTTTTAGAGCAACGTATTTGCATCCATCCTTAGGTTTATTACGCGAAAGCTGTCTACCGTGACTGATTATGAACTTTTCCTTAGCAAACGGATGTATACAAGTCGCATTAACGAATGGGACATCCAGAAAACTTATAAAGCTCAGGAGAAGGATGTGCTAGCTGCTCAGGTCACCAGCGCGCGTCTCGAGGGCCAAACCCTGGCAAACATGACCTTCAGGGGTCAGCCAGTCAAGCTTCATCGGGTCCTTAGACACTGTACAGAGCAGGCAGAATTCGGGGTGACTGAGGGAGGAGCCGGAGTGACTGGATCTGTACCGTTGTATGCACATACCTGGCTCGTAGAAGCTGGCGAGGCTGACAGATTGACGAGAGGGACTGCCGCGCCTGTGGTTGTCCTGATTGAGCCTTCAGTGTATTCTTTCCGTGCGGAAGGAGTATCTCAATCTCCGAAACCATGCACGTTCTTGAATGTAGTCAGGCCGACGAAGGGCACTTGATCCTTGATTTTGTTACGCCTTACTTTCACTCTAGGTGCACCTCAGTGGACGAGGCTTGCTCCACGACACTGCACCATGACTATGGTTTAACCCGCAAGCGCCAAGCTGGCTGTATCAACTTTAGTCCGGTGGGTTGGCGTGGTTGGTTGAGTCAATGGGCGCCAAAGTATCGAGCAAATAGGCACCAATATCGGCATCTACGAATCTAGTACAACCTACCTAGGGTTTGTATAGCCAAACCATACAAAAAATGTCTATAGATCATACCAATCTAAGATTGGCTTGAGCCAACTCTGGGGATTCTCTGAGCGAAGCAGTGGGGTAAATCAGGAGGACGACGGGCGATATGTCGTAAGGATATCCGTCAGTGCCTGCTTGTAGGTGATAGGGATGTGGTAGCCGAGATAGTTACGAGTCCATTATTAGACCAGAGGTACACGGCCTGAGTCTGATCCCAAGCCACCAGGAGGGCAACCGCATCAACGGTTCTCGTCGCTAAGCGAAGGATGGAACCCCCTCCAAGTCGCCCTCGCCTGACAATGCCGGCAGTCAGGATTGAGGGCAGATCTGTAGGTTGCCGCCGCCATCACAGCCACAATCTCAAACGGGCGGCACACAACATGCGCAGGATGCATGTGTGCAGATTGACCGGGAAAGGGCCCAATGGGGGTCCAACACGACAAAAGGTGCAGGAGGCCCCGCATCACCGGAGGAGCACACGCACAAAAGCGGGTGCGGAGAGGAAAGATGGGGACTCGCTTTATTATTGCTGCTGCTCAAGCGGCCATCTTCCTTCCTCGAACCGAACCAGGCCGGTTGGCATTCAAACGGTGCGTTGGCGCGGGACCATCTGCCCAGTGAGCCTAATGACCTTCCTAGGTGGAAATATGCATGCGCAGATGGCGGAAGTTGACCCGGTTGGATGTGACGGGCACAACGCATATGCACGTCGCAGCGGCAGCACAACTGACGGCATATGTATGTATGTGCGTACCCGTGCTGGATAGGAGGAATGCCGTCTGTGCGTGTGACTCGTGTAGGACCTGGGTTCTCTTCTTGCCACGGGTCTATCATCTCGAAGAAGCCTCCGGTCAGCTAAATTCACCATATTCTCACTCGGAATCATTAGATGGCGCAGAAACCGCAGACTCTGGATGGGAAGTTGGCCATTGTGAGCGGGAGTTCCAAAGGCATTGGCGCGGCTATAGCGATTGAGCTTGCTTCTAGGTATGAGCGGTTGGACGGGCTGGATCTATCCATTCTGTCGTTCATGTGCGCCCCTATCTCCAACGAGCCTCAGCTGACAAGTGCCCTTCGTACAGGGGCGCCCTCGTGGTCACAAACTATCCGTACGCTTCACTTCAACAAGAAGCCGAGTCCACTTTGGAGAAGCTCCGAGCCACCGGTGGGAATCATGTCAGCGAGTGCTTTGCCGTCGAGTCGGACCTGTCAACGCTGGACGGCCCAAAACACCTCGTCGACGAAGCTGTCAAGCGCACAAATGGCCGCAAAGTCGACATCCTGGTGAACAACGCCGGCATCGCGAAAATGACCCCCCTCAAGGACGTCACCGTCGAGGAGTGGGATGCGCAGGTCAACTTGAACGGCCGCGGGACGCTGCTCTTGACCCAAGCTGTATTGCCGCATCTGGCAACGCCAAGCAGGATTGTCAACCTGAGCTCCAGCGGAGCGAGACAGCCGTATCCAGGGGCGAGCATTTATAACGGGACGAAAAGCATGATTGAGAGTTTTACTCGATGCTGGGCCGTGTAAGTATATTCGATCTTTCCACCCACACTTGTGTAGTTGTTTCTTGGAGGGTGATAGTCTCCCTTGCGGCGGTTCGGTGGCTGATGGTTAAACCTCCGCAAAGTGAACTAGGTCGAGAGTATCAATGTACTGTCAACGCTATCTGCCCTGGAGCCACGAGCACCGATGCATTTAATGGATTGACGGGCGCGACGCGAGACAGCCTCGAGCCAATGTTGGCCATGACTCCTGCGGGATCACGACTTGGTGAGGCAGAAGAGATGGCGTATGCGGCCGCTTTCTTTTGCGAAGAAAGGGCCAGATGGATGACAGGCGTCTGCTTGGCTGTGAATGGTGGGACTCTGATGGCTTGATGGATCGCGAGACGGGGGCGTCTTCCTTCTGGCGAATCAGTATTTGGTATACCAGCGCCAATCTGGAGGATGGAGGTTGCCACTAAACATTGCTGTCTCACAATCCGCTACGACATTCCGCAGTAGCAATATCCCGTCCGTGATATACATGTCCACCTTTCCCTCCCGCACTTGTATCCATGAGAGGCCGAAGGCTTCCCCGGCTTGTCCTCAGCGACGATCTTGCCGACATTCGAGACCCCCCCCCCCCATTGCATTAGGCGAGCCAACCAGACGAGGATGATGTGATGCGAGGACCCTGGGGTGACGGAAGAGGGAGATCGCGGGATCGTTCGCCCAACCGGGGCGATACTGGGGAGGCTTTCGTATCCGCTTACTGGCTGCTGCTCAATCTGGAAACCTTGCAAACAATCTCGCATGGTTCCAACATAGAATTGACAGCAAAGAACGCGTCGCGGGTGGAATTCGAGGAGACAACGTTGACGTGACGCTTAAAGCGGCGACTCGGTGACGCACTTTAGACTTTCCTTATATAAGCATCATGCAGCCAATCAGAGCTTAGGGCTGACGGACTGCCAGCACAGCCTCTGCCAGTTCCATATCAGCGACCAAATGACCAACTCAACGTGCTCAACCCACCAACTGACTGCTCGGCCTTCCAGCCTCCAGCTCAGCCTTCGAGGATAGCTGCAGGACTGTGCCATGAACTCAGAGAGTCAATAACAATCCAGCTCGGCCTCCACAAGGACACTGATGCCGCCGAGTCTGCTCCGCCCTCCTCCGGAAAGCTAGCTACACCAGCCCCCTCCATATCTCATGAAGCACAAGTACACCGATGACAAGAACCCTGCTGAAGCCATGTTCACGCAGCCCTTTGGCATCTCATGGCGCAAGGCCCTCGTCAGCATCCCTCGCCTCGTCCCGGACTTTGTCCTCAACTTCACCACTTCCGAGGGTCCGCAGCCCATCGTCTTCGACATCCCCTCGCGAGGCAAGCATCTGATTCCCGTCTATGTCTGGGTCCCGCCCGTCCGCAAGCACCGTCACCGCCATCTGTTTCACCACCACAAGAACGCTGCCGGGGCGCATCTGAAGGACGCTCTTCGACCGATAGGGATCGACGAAGACCACGACGCCAAACTGCCCGTCCTGATCGATTTCCATGGCGGCAGCTTCATCCTCGGGTCATGCCAGGAGCAAGCTCCCTTCTGTGCCCGGATGTGCCGTGAGCTGAACTGCATCGTCATCTCGGTAGACTACCGGCTCGGTCCGTATGCGGAATTTCCTGCGGCCAATCTTGATGCAGAGGACGTGGTACTTGCCGTGATCGACGCAAGCAATAGAGCGTTCAAGCCGCTTAGGGAAGGGATAGTAAGTCGCCCCTTTGTCTCTGAACGATGGTGTCAAGTCGGGATGGGTTATTCGCTTAATTTGCATGAAATTGCGGGGTAAAGCTAATGTCGTTTCATAGATGTGGGAGATGCTGAAACAAGGACGAAAACCCGTCGAACTGGACGAGCACAAGATCGCCCTTTCAGGATTCAGCTCCGGAGGAAACATCGCTCTGAACCTGGCCCTCAGTATCAAGGATGACCCGACATTCGAAACTGACTGGGTGAGTCCGTTGCCGTGGGACTGGGCAAACGAGATTCCAGTTCTGCTGTTCTATCCGAGCTTGGACGCCCGGCTTTTGCCGCACGAGAGGCCAAGGCCGGAGGGTCTGGATCCCCCTACTGGATTTGTCGAGCGCTGGAAGATCGAGAAGGAATTGATGCCTACGTATCTGCCTCCGGAGAAGAGGGATCATCCCCGGGCGAGCCCCGGCCTCGCAGACATCCGAGCGAAGGACGGGGAGAATTTCGGGCTCCACCCCAAAGCCAAGATGCTGCTGGTGCTGCCCCAGTTCGACTCGCTGAACGCGCAGAGCCTGACCTGGATCCAGAAGGTCCGGGACGAGGGCCGCGGGGACGATCTGATCGTCGAGGAAGTCAAGGGCGTGGTGCACGGCTGGACACAGTTTCCGGACTCGTGGATCAGCGAGGAAGAACGGAAGCTCAAAATCGCGGCGTTTCGCAGGGCGAGGGAGTTTCTCGAGGACTACTGGCACCTTGACAGCCAGCTTGTGGAGGTTGAGGTCATCCACCACGACAAGGACGGGATTGGACAGGTCATAGATACCGCGGGATCACAGAACCTGGGGCAAGCATGACACGACGCGACGCGACGCGAAATGAGTGGAGATGGGATATTGTTTCAGTATAATGCTGAAGCAGTGGTTATAACGAGTGAGTCGTGCGCGTCTCCAAGAAAGGGGGCATTTGGTGTCTTTTGCCATCTCTTTGTTCCAATACAATACAACTGTGCGGGTACAGTCGACTCTGGAGGAGGCAACGGAAGTACTCGGTACATCCATCATTAGCCAGGGAGATGTTTTAACTGTAAAGAAAGAATTTCCCCCACTTCCTTGTCGTTGATATTTCCTAAAGGGGCTACCGATAGCTGCAATAACGGGCTTAATGTAGAACAGAGTGTGGTCGTGGGGAAGTGGAAAGACATGTATACATGTAGGCATAAAGGGGGCTGCTCAGCCTTGTCTCTGGGATCATCCTCGACAATCTTCCAGATTTTGTGCTCAAGAGGCGTAATTGATACTAACCACGGAGCACAGAGGGACAGAGTATTGTGATCACCTACATAGATGACCAAGACATTGAGATATGGCATTCCGCATTGCAAAGTGCGGATGCCTCTCTTCTCCCTTCATTTTGGATCGCCGCCCACCGCCACCGCCACCGCTGACACTTCGATGAACCCTTGTGTCAAATCTCACGTCTCGCCTTGCGCAGCTCCACGATGACCCGAGTCGCGTACGCATGTCTTTCTGAGGACCGTAACGTCCCTGCTCTCGGCCGATGATTGTTCGGGGTAACGGCGTGAACTTTTTCCGTCATGCATTGCTTCGAATGCTCTCCACCCCGCGAGTGCGTCGACGGCATAGCATTGATGGAACCCTGTTCGCTAAGACTCGAAATATCGCTGGTTTCTGCGGCGGGTCGGGTGACGAATGATTTTCGTCTCGGCTGAGTTTGTGGACGTTTCAGCCATCGTCTCCTCGCGGATCATGAGAATAGTCTGTGCTGGAGTTTCTGCTGGAAGTTTTCGTCGTGGACAGGGAGCGACTTCATTTGTACCATGGTCGAGGAGCTGACGACATCTCTCCTTTTGCCCTGACGATATCTCATCGAACTTCAGACATATTCGATGTCGAGGAGAACCAAAACTGATCCCCGGGACAAAGTCTCCCGGCTCGTTGATTCCGTCAGTTGTATCCGCCTCTCCCCTTTGCACAAATCGCCATCTTGCAATGTCGTCTTATTGATCGAGGAGTTCTTTGTGGAATGCCTAGAGCTCATCAAACGACGGGAGAACAGGGCATTTTTTGAAGTATTCATGCACATGATTTAGGGACGTATTCAAGCGGCACTTCATCTGTAGCAACTCGGGGGTAGATATAAAAACAGAAATGAGAAAATTCAGTAACGATCTCCCATCTCGATCCATGCGTCTATGACAAAGGTTGCACTTGTCTGATTGAGGATGCTGCTGAAAGGGCAAGCTTCCCCCCATGTTGAATCATCAGTTCGGTGCGACGAACATTGGTAACGACAACTTCTTTGTGGGCAGGGAGATTTTCGGTCAAGCGTCAGAACCGGACGACGACAGTGCATCGGGGCATGGATGAATTCAGGTAGCAGGTGAGCCGCTAAGTACTGGCGGTCGAGACCCCTAGGCTGACCTATCTTATATAAGAAGCCTTATTCAGCAGCAGCATTTAGCCGACAATGCTGCAAGATGCGGTTGAGCCTTGCCACCTACCTTTGCTCCCCTTACTCGCCATTTCCCTAGATTGAGATGAGACCGAGACATCCTATCGAGGCAGCAAAACAGGCTGTTTCGCCGTTTGCTCAGAACCGCCGCCCCCCGGAGAATCGGTCCCGATCAAGAAGGTGAATATCGCGGATGGAATCAGGAAGTTGCCACAGCACCTTTCTTACCAGCATTCCGCTCGCCAACGGCATACCCATTTGAGTGGGCATGAATAAGCCTTTGTCTCACTGAAGCGGTAGTCTTGGCAAATCCCCCAGTATTGAAGCCCACGCTGCTTTGCTCCCCCTTAGCGAAAGACAAGCCATTATTTCGCGTCCCTGAGCATAAATGAAATCGTCGCGTCTGCCGATCCGTAGTTCCATTTTGGATTTAGTGTGAATTTGTCAATATCTCGGAAGCCGAATTTCTGATACAAGTTGTGGGCGGCAGGGGACGATTCAAGGTAGGCTGGAAGGTGGAGTTCGTCGGCGACATCAAGCCCCCATCTGATCAGCATTCCTCCTGCACCACGTCCCTGGTATTTTGGATCCGTCTGGAGAAGGTCGAGTACTGGTTTTGTCCTCTCAGTGAAAGGCTGCAAGCCTGCCGAGCCTGTGACGATTCAACTTACAGCAGTATGCCTTCCCTCCCATCAGTTCATTTCGCTTTCTATGAATTCCCCCGAAGAACTCCTCACATGCCTCAACGTTGCATCCAGGGCCAAACTGTCGGCTCCGAGCCGGCTCTCTGGGCTCCTTGATGATGTTCCACTTTGCAAATGCAGCGATCTCACCAGTCTCGGTATCTATCGCCTTCACCCATCGGACAGTTGGATCTTCATGGAATTGCTTGATGAGCCCTTCCGCACGCTCGTTCTTTGCTTCCGGCGGAAACGGTCCTGGAAACAGGACAGGGTTGAGGGGGTTGGAAGCATAGGCGAGACGTTCGATCTCAACGACGCGAGGGGCATCGGCCTCGTCGGCAGGCTGAAGAACGAGAGGCATGTCGAAGGAAGAAGTTGTGCCCTTTGAGGGAGGCGTCTAGAGGAGAAGGGAGTGTAGAGGACGCATTCGTCTTCATCCTGTAATGAGTATGATTGATATTCGGTGGTATATTGGATCAAACGTTGTTGCTGCCTAATCTCCTGAGAGAGTGAGTTCCTTTGTGGAGCACGAGATATGGCTTCAGCTACAAGCATAGGGTCAATGTCACCTTACCACCGCTCACTCACCTGGGTAGCTCTTCACAACTGCCTTGCCGATGTTAGCACGAGTGTGAATGAGTCAGAAAAATCCCCGCGGAAGTGTTGCAAGCTGCCGAAGCCGAAGCTGCATCCCGCCATGCAACTCGCCGACTGCGCCAAGTGCCTAAGGCTTCTCCCCTCGTCCCAAGCAACCCACCGCCCAATCCAACTCCCCGACAACTTACTAATGCATTCGTTGCTTCTCCCGGCTTGTCTTGAAGAGGAAGAGAATCTTGCGATACCATTGGCTTCTGAGCGTGCCACAGAATAGACTCCAGCCACTGCGAGTTACCTTGTACCAGAAAGGAAGTCACACATGTCATCAAGCCCAGGAGGCCAAGCCCGTCCCTGGGGAGGCTGTTGCGAGCTTGGAGCGACGACGGCATCCTATTCAGCGAGAAGGCCGAGAAGAAAATGGTGTGAACTGAGTGATATCCCTTCACAATCCAGGAAATACGAGAGGGAGGAGTCACCCAAGTGAACGAATACCGCCGGTGGCAAGGGCTTCTATTCGGTGGATGATGTCCTGCAGCATGAATCCGAAGGTCGGAGAGCAAAGTCTATGAATCTTTGTATAAAAGGTGGGAGTCCCTTCGTTGTGAAGCAATGACCACGTTTGAGCAGATCGGTACAAAAGCCTCTTGAGAGACAGCACACTGCAACCCCCTTCAACGACCGAACAATGTCTGCATCCAGACTACCTAGCACAATGCGTGCGCTGTTGCACAACCAGAAGAAACAGACCCTAGCCATCGCCTCAACCCCTCTTCCGAGTCCGTCCTCAACCCAGTACCTCGTCAAGCCACACGCCGCGGCCCTCACAGCAGGCGAACTCCTGTGGCCTCGCCCGGAAGAGCTTACCATTTCAACGCCCGGCGTGGAATTTGTCGCGCAGGTGGTGGAATCTCCATCCTCGAGCTCAAAATTCAAGCCAGGAGACGAGGTCTACGGGCGCGTCACTTACCCACAGGCAGGGGCTGCAAGGGAGTATTCCCTTTCTGACGATAGTGAGCTCGCGCTTCGTCCAAGAAACTTGTCCATCAATGAAGCAGCCACCATGCCGGTCGGCGCCTTGACCGCGTGGCAAGCATTGTTCGAGCAATTCGAACTCGCCCCTCCGGCCTCCGACTCCGCAAGGGAGCCCACCCGGCAACAACAGCGCATCCTCATCACCAATGCCTCTGGCGGCGTCGGGATCTGGGCCGTCCAGCTCGCCAAACTCATCAACCTCTATGTGGTCGGCACCACGGGGCCCAACAACCTCGACTTCGTCCGCTCTCTCGGCGCAGACGAAGTCCTCGACTACCGCACCACGAACATCCGCTCTTGGGCCGAGGAAGACCCGGCTGCACGCAAGGTGGATTTCGTCTTCGACTGCATCGGCCTCTCCTCGCTCGAGCAAGCGTGGCACGCAGTCAAGCGAGGCGGACAGCTCCTGACCATCGTGCCCCCAGCGGACATGCAGTGGAGGTTTGTCCTGGATCGTCCCAAAGGCGTTGACGAGAGCGTCACGGGGAAGTTCTTCGTCATGCACCCCTCTGGGGAGCAGCTGGGCAAGATCACCGAGCTGGCGGAACAGGGCAAAGTCAGGGCCGTGGTGGATAGCGTGTTCAAGCTGGACAAGTTTGAGAAAGCGTTTGAACGCTTGGGCAGTGGCCGGACGAGAGGAAAGGTCGTATTGAGGCTTGATGATGAGGAGTAGCACAGCTGTCTTCAGATGAAACTGCTCGGAGAAGCTGAAGGTTTGTAATATATTGTCGGAACAAGAAGTTGTACTCGATAATACTTAAATAATTTTTTTCGCTATTGAAGAGACTCGCTAACTAAAACCTCCTCATGCCATACCACTTTAACATGCAATTATATGTGTCACTCGTGTATATGGTGTACGCTAACCACTTTATTCGTAAAAGACAAGTGATCTCACTTCTATACTCTGTCTCCCTGGAGCGTCTGAGGGTGTCTGTGGATCAACAAAGGCCGTGTGTGGCGTGTACCCTGCGATGCCTTTCTTGCCGCCGTTGACTTCGCTGGCCGAGTCAAAACACTTGATGAACATGACCTCCTCGGGCGTCATGTCCTTCATGTACAAGAACCGGTGCTTATCGTTCGGCCGCACCGCGAACGTCTCACCCTTGACCTCGTACCCGACGGTGGATGAAGCCGAAGTCGGGTCGGGAAGAACTTCCTTACCCCGGTCGTCATCGTCATGAAATCCATTGGCTTCCCTTTTCGGGTAGAGGAGGTCGACCTTGATCATGTCGGAGGGCTCAGTTGTACGGTAATCAACGACCGCAAGAGGAAAGTCGGACGCCGGGTTTGCTATCGGTCGCCAGATATTGATAATCTGGTAGCGTCCCTTCAGCAGCTCCTCTGCCTCCTCTGCAGGTAAATGTCTGCGCACCCGAACCGCGGCTGCGTTCGGTGTCTGGTCGACATGCACTTGCTGCACAGGTTGGCGAGGGGAAGCCTTCTCTCTTCTTCTGATAGTATGATCGAAGAACACCACCTTCTTGACTCCAGGCAACTTTTCCCGCAGCAAAGCCTCTACTTCAGCATAATAACTTTCTCGGACCTTTGCGTCGTCTGTGAAAGCCTTCTCTTGCGCAGGAGAATTGTATACAGCGAAACCAGAGGTGTCGACAGAAAACTTCGATTCTTGTCCGCGGATGTTTTCCACCGGCCGTTCGCGATCGGTCAATTTAAACGAGTAGCCGGGGCCATCAACCTTGCCCCACGGCTTGACGAAAGGAACGTCGCTGTCGACATACGATGAGGGGTCGATGTATTTGAAAGTGCCAGTCGTCATATTGACAGCTCTAGGAATGTTGGAGCTGAAGAAACGAGGAGCGGGAGAGACGACAGATCGAGTGAATGGAGCAGCGTGTGACAGGTTCCTCAGAACCGAGGAAGATGCCTTGATGGTTCTGAATGAAGTGGCAGCTTGCATAAAGAAAAATGTCAGTCGCGAGTTCTTTCTCTCTGAGTCAACGTCTTAATCAGATCAGATATGCTCTCGGAATGGAGGGCGTACCTCAAGAGAGAGAAGAGCTCGGTATATTTATCTGAACCGATTGACCTTGAAATTGTCAGCAGCAGAAGAACATCGAAGACAAGATGACGTTGAAAAGTGTATAGAGCCTCGATTGGGCACGGTAGATACTCCTCCCTGTCCCGTCAATCCATTCAATGGAGATACTGCGAAAGTTTTCCCTCACGGATCCGATGGCGCGAGTAAAAAGAGCATTGTTTCGCCTCATCTGATATTGTCTTGATTTCAAAGGCAGCCGCATCGGTTGCGGAGAAGCCTCGGGAAGAATCCCACATCTGGAGCGTGACTAAGCCAGACGTCATATCTTGGCAACTGTCCTATGATTGGCTGCCTGATTCACCCCGCCATCTCCGCCAACATTGCGCGTAACGCGTGTGAATTTCTGGCTCCCCCTTGTCGCGTCTCCCTCAAAGCAGATGCAGCTGTGGACCCCTTTCGCACTGAGGGAGGCTCAGGGCGCAGGCAGTTGAACGACAGATACGCTCCGCGGCGCTTGATAAGTTCCCTGAGGCAATGTCTACCTAATACGCATTCTTCTTCTTGTCCTTCTTACTGCCCCTTTTCCATTCGGCTGCAAACAAGTCGAAAATGGCAGACAGGGAGATCTACTCTGCGACGTACAGCAATGTATGAACCCTTCCTAAAGTCTTCTTTGTCTGCCTGGACGTAGACTGACATGTGACTGCAGGTCCCCGTCTATGAGCTCAAGGTCGGCGGCGACCATGTTATGCGCCGTCGGTCTGACAACTGGGTCAACGCTACACACATTCTGAAGATTGCCGGGTTTGACAAGCCAGCGAGGACAAGAATCCTAGAACGTGAGGTGCAAAAGGGCGTCCACGAGAAGATTCAAGGCGGATATGGAAAATATCAAGGCACATGGGTCCCTCTGAATGAAGGCCGATCGCTGGCTGAGAAACATGGTGTTCTTGATCGCACTGCCAAAATATTCGACTTCGTCCCCGGGGATCGCAGCCCGCCTCCTGCTCCCAAGCATACCACAGCCGCATCGAATCGTCCAAAGCAGCCGAAGCAGCCTGTCGCCCCACGAAAAGTACCGTCGCAGCCAAGTAAGTCAGCTATGTTCTGCCGCCAGAAACATTTGCTAACTCCTCATAGCCCAACATTACCCACCCGTGGACGGCTACGAAAGTGCCAGCGTACATTTCAATGGGACAGAAAGTCGAGAACACTCCCCGGAGACCGCTTCATTCATGGCAGAAGACGACTTTCTTCCGCTTTCCCAAAATTCAACAGCTTCGAGAAAGCGAAAGCGAGATTTTGAAGAAATCGCTCCTACTGCATCAGACCTTGAACATACTCTGTATGGCGACGAGTTGCTGGATTATTTTGTGACCGCTGGCGATGACCCGGCCGCCTCCAACATCCTACCTCCAGAACCGCCCGCAAACTTCGATGTTGACAGGCCTATCGACAACCTGGGTAACAATGCTCTGCACTGGGCTTGCGCCATGGGTGATGTCGCTGTTGCACGAGATCTCCTCGCACGCGGTGCAAATCCTGCTGCTCAAAATAAGAGCTCACTTGAGACTCCCTTGATCCGGGCTGTTTTGTTCACCAACAATTATGATAAGAAGACCTTCCCAAAAATCGTGCAGGCTTTGGCTGGAACGATCGTGGAGCGCGATGCTTATGGCGCCACTGTCTTCCATCATATCGCCGAGTCAGCGCGCTCTCGGGGCAAATGGAGTTGTGCTCGGTACTATTGCGAGGTCTTGATAAACAAAATGCACGAGATGGGCTCAAACTACGTTCAAGCGCTCCTCACCTCCGTTGACCACAATCACGACACTGCAGCACTATGTGCTATCCGCAACGGATGCGTCAAAGTTGCGACATTCCTCCTCAATCATTGTCCGGAAGCAGGGGACATACCAAATCTGAAGGGTGAAACTGCCAACGAGTACCTCAGAGCTCTTCGAGAGAAAAAGGAAAGCCTCCAACAGCCAGGATCGTCTCCCCCACGGGCTGGAGAGTCTTTCTCGTCGAAACAATCACGCCGCAAACGACAGAAAGAAACATTGTCCCGCGCTGCGTCATTGGTGCTTGATAAGATCGTCCCTCTCATAGACTCCGGCAGCTTCAAACTAGCCGATATGTACGATTTGCAGATGTCAGAGAAGGACACAGAAATTTCAGAAGCCAAACACGCACTGAACGAGCTCGAGAACCAGCGACATAAGATTCGACAAGAGACCTTTGCACTGATGGCGAAGGTCGAGGATGTATCCAAGATTCCCACGCTGAGACACGAATATGAGGCATGTCTGCGCGAGGTGGAGTCTCTCCTCGAACAGAAAGAACACGCCACCCTCCAGAATGAAGTGTTCCAGCAAGACCAGCAAACGAGCCCCGAAGCCTTCCGTTTCCCCAACACGTCAACACTCTCACCCGATGAGATTCGTGCGGTCGTGCCATGGGCGATTGAGCTCAACAACCAACAGAATGTTCGCCGACAGTGGGTCAAGGATATTGCGAAACTGATGAGTGATGCGGGTGCAAGCGAAAAGGTCGGCAAACACAGAAAGCTCGTGGCGATTGCGACTGGACTCAAGGAGGACGAGCTGGACGGTATGTCGGAGGAATTGTTGGAAAGTTTGCAGGGAAACCAGGCTGGAAATCCACCGCAGACGCCTCCGCAGGCTCCGGCTGAGGTCCAAGCGTGATTCGCGCCCCCATATGATGAATGAGAGTACCTCCTGAATGAATCACAATGACATGCGCTTCACTTTTATTCCAGCTCGTCTTGCCCATTGTTATAGAGCCACCCGCCCTTATCATCCGGGGACAAACAGCTTCTTGACTCTGACGTTCACCCTGTTCCGAACGAGCCACAATCCAGAAAACGAGGCCGTCCGTTTGTCCCGTTCGCGTACACGGAGAGATTGACGTTCGATCGCGCCCCATCCGCACCGTCGTGCACGGCGTCCGCGGGCGCGGGCCCTGGCGAACGAGCAAGAGATTTTTGAAAATAGGCTGGACACTAGGTGCATAAGATATGGCACGGGGAGGCGACGCCGAGACATCGGCGCCGAGGCCGTCATGGACAAGACAGGCTCAGAATTGAAAAACAGGCCGCACAATCTGGTCGGGAGACGCGGTCGATCGCACGGGCGAACGACATCGCGACATCGGCGGCGAGGACGTCGAGCATAACGTAGAATCCGAATCGAAAAACAGGCCGTACGAGGTGTGCGGACGACGCGTTGGATGATACGGGCGAACGACAGCGAGACAACGACGACGATGACGTCAGGGAATCGTATGCTAGAAGAGTGGAGAATTCATTATTATGCTCAGCTCTATTTCATGTTTATCTCACAATTGTGTGAGAGTTTTCAGCCCATTTCAAGCCCCATTTCTCCAGCCCATATCAAGCCTATCCAGCCCATTTCAATGCACTCAGCCATGTATGTGTCTCTGTGTCTTGCTTATGATGTTGATGTGGATGTGAATGTGTGTTTGTGCTCTGTCAATAGTAATGTGAGAGACGTATGTTCATGTTCCATATTCCATGCTCTGTGGTGCACATGTGGATTCTGTTCGCCTCAAACGCCTCAAACGCCTTCCTTATTGCTAGTATTCTCCTTCTTCATGGGTCTCTGGGATGGTCGCGATGGGATGTCCAACGTAGCCGCCGCTTGGAGACTGGTAGATCTGTGGGGGAGGAGGAGCATTGGAATGACCAGCGAAGCCATGATGGACTTGATCGTGATCCATGTGAGTGGGAGTGGGGGAGAAGATTCCAGCTGGGAGCATGTGGCTCATGTTGCCGTAGGTCATGTTCGAGTAGCTTGGAGGGGTCATGGTGCCAAATCCGTAGGCGGAGGTCTGCTGTTGTGGAGTTCCATACATGGGCTGCGGGATTCCCTGATGGTTGTACTGGATGGTCGCAGGTGGAGTCATCTGGTGAGCTGGCATGCCATGAACACCGACGCTTTGACCGTGGCCGCCGTTGTAGACTTCTGGGGTACCACCGACATTGTAGTTCATGTTATTCTGCTGGACTGGATAACCGGTATTGGGGTTGCCATATCCGCGTCTTGGACCGTTGTTCTGTTGCTGGATTCGCGCATTTGGAGCCATGAGGCGACCGGAAGGGCGGCGTGCAGAGTACTCCTTCTGCTCCACACGAAGCTTGAGGCCGTGCAAGAAACGCTGTGAGGGATATTGTTAGCTTGTGGTGTGAGCTGGAAGGGGTGAAAGACTTACTTCGGCACTAGCAGCACGGTCGGCCGCGTGGGAAGTGGCGAATTCGATGAAAGCGAAGATGTTCACAGCATCGTTCTCTGGTTTGTGCGTTAGGAGGATACTGAAAGCGGTGGTGGCTTTGGCAATGACAGAACTCACCATAAGTCTTCTTGATGACGTTGACCTGGACAATCTCTCCAAACTCGGCAAAGAGCTCCTCAAGGTGAGCACGGGTCGTCCCCTCTGGCAGGTTTCCAACATAAATGGACTTCTGATCAATGATAGAGCGAGGGTTTGCGAAGCCACCAATGACAGTGGCACCGTCAGCTCCGACGCGGAAGCGAGGTTCAAGGGAAGGAGCCATGTAAAGCTGGTAGCCAGTGGTGTGATTCTGAAAGAGCTGCTCCTGGGTCAGAGGGCTACTCGTCAAGCAGAATGTTTGGGGAAATACCTTGAGAGCGTCACGACAGTCGAGGTAGAACGCAAACTTGACATACATGCCATAACCTGAGCCACCGTGGCGTCGATTGGCCATATTGGTCGGGGCGACAAGCTCGAGAGGTCCGTAGCGTTCGAGAATTCCACGAGTTTCCGCCTCGGTGATCATGGTACCATCAGTCTTGCTGAGAATTACAGAGCCTTGAGTTGTGGTCAGCTTCCAATCGATGCAAGTATGTGCGGCTGTGGACTTACGTTCTGCCTTGGCCTGTTCGATCCGAATCTTTCTCCCGTCTATGATTAGACCATAAGCTCCTGAGACAGCCGCGGTGGCATCTTCGTCTTTCTGTCGCAACAGTTAACAGCGTGGATGATATGGTGTTCACTTATTGTACTCACATGGTACTGGATGAACGCGAACGGATGCTGGTTTCGGTCACGTCGGATCTTGACGTGATTTGGGCCGTACGTATCAAACGTCTGATGACAGGCAACTTCAAGCTGGTCCTCAGAGCGGTACTTGGAGAGGCTAAAACAAATTAGCACCAGCTTGTACAGGGTAGCATTTTTTAGACTTACTTTGCCACAAAGATGAGAGCAGTTGGTGGGTAGAGTCCTTGAGCGTTGGCGGCGGTTGGGATCTGATTCACACGGTCTGGTCGCGGGGCAAAACCGTTGTACCCAGCCGGAGCACGCAGGTTGTTGATGATTCGACGAGCGACAGTGTTGACGGGGACGTTGCCGTTTGTATCAGAGGTGGGAGCACCAAACACATCGTCTTCAGCACTTGGCTCGATTGCTGCGACGGTGGTGCTGGCATCTTTCAAAGATGCTGGGAGGGAGGTGGAGCCTAGAAATCGTCAAGAGACGGTCAGTTTTCATCAAGCTCAACTTTTAAAAGGTTCGAGGTCGTCCTCTTCAAAGTGTCACCAGAAGGTGGAGAGTGAGAGGAGCACGAACCTTGAGCGGCCTGGGTGTCTTCGACGCGGCTCTGCTCGCCGCCGAGCTTGGTGTCTGCCGCCTCGCTCGAGATCGCTGCGATCTCAGGATTTGGCGTTGATGACGTCGACCGAGGGAAGACGACGGGGAGGGTGGGCATGATGACCCGGCGAGGAGGAGAGGATGAGGAAGAGGCGAGGCGGGAAGTCATGTTGCAAGCTTATCTGTTTCACCAGTCTCGATGTCAGTATGGCTCCAGATCAAGTTTATAGACTCGGAGGAGCTGTTCTCACCTTGCAAACGATTTCTCTGACTCGAATAAAGGGAGGGCAAGGCCGTTTAGCATTCGTAAATGCTGTAAACGAAGAAATAAAGGTGAGAATATAAAGAGGCAACAATTCAAAGTGAAATGTGTTGAGAGCGCGAGGGGTATCATGGGTGTGGGCTTGGCATTCACCAACGGTCACTCCGATTCTTAATTCCATTTCTGAAGCTCATAGAGACGGCCTGTTTTGGCCTCTCCATCTCCTCGCTTCCGGACCGCTTGTGCTCTCCAGGCGAACACTTGCATCTGCACCTCAGTGCCAGATACTGTTCATGATGCATGCCTCTCATGTATCCTCAACACTGGAGGATGTTTTGTCGGGAGCGGGCGCGCCCTGCGCACCATACTGCTCGAAAGCTCAACTTGACGTCCTGTATTTGAGCCCATCTGACTCCCTCTGCTGGGAGCCAGACTACTCATGACACCCTGCGACATCTGTGTCTGTGAATGTCAGCAACCTCTGTTGTCTGAGGTGAGTGGTGGCTTTCTTACAATATTCTAGGTGGAAAACGACCAAAGAAGGCTGAAGCTACATCTCTTTCTAGTCGTGGACCAGAACTCTCCCTCCGCGCTCCCGACATCCATCTATTCAGACGGTGCGGCGTTCAGGACGGCGACACGGCACGAAGTGCACGAGCACGATGCTGAACAGTCGATATGATGATGGCGACTTGTTAATGTCTTGGGACGATGATGATAGTTGAGCTGGAGATGGAGATTGTGCGAAGAAAAGAAAACAACAATGAAAAGAACGGCAGAAATTCACGGCTTAACTCCTCAGCCTCGTTGTAGTTGGCGCTAAACGATATTGGGAAATTCCCGATGTCTGTCAACTGCTTGGCTGGAGAGGGAGGTTCAGATTGACTACTGCTAGTGCCGGAGTTCTACCGGCCGATCCCGAAGCCAGCAGTGGACTATTGGCGGGCGAGATTGGGAGGGAAAGGCCCCGAGCACGTGAAAACCCATGACGTTGAGCAGCTGTTGCGAATTGCAGCTCACAAATGACAATTGGAACAAGACCATGGACTCGTCATCTCAGGGATAAGAGGCATGCGTTGTGAAGCACAGCAATGATGTTTGTTCCTACAGTCAGACGCTGTGCGCCTGGCTTCTGGAAGAAGACAAGCCAGGAGTTGGGCAGAGCAACGAAATTTGGTACGTTCTCCCAAACGAGGCATCCATGGCGTTCACGCCTTTTCAGAGCCCCAATATGTGTTGAATAGCACTGGTAGATGCGACGGAAGAGTATACCAGCGGCTGGTTTGAAGGAATGTGCTAACTTCCCTCTGCGGCCAGCTCTCAATCTCGAAGGCCTGCATTTACCTCTTGCCCCGTACCCTATCTTCGACTTTGCAGATCCCGAAACGCTTACGACCCTGAAGACAATGACCGACAAGTCCGTTGGCGGCTTCTCAACAGCGCAACTCACACAGAAACCTCGCGATGTATCTACAGAAATCCCTTCTCCCGCACACATCCTTTTCCACGGGAACATCTCCACAAAGCTTCCCACAGATCGACCAGACATCCAAAGAACAGGCTATGCGGCATGGAGGAATGAGGATCGAGGGCGAACACTATTTGGAGAGTTGTTTTGGAACGTCGATACCTACATGTACCTGGCACTGCGGGTCAAGAGTGACGGGAGGAAATACTTTGTCAACATACAGACGGACTCGATCGTAGAGTCGGACATACATCAGCATCGTTTGTACACAAAATATCACAAGGGTGCAGAAGGACCTGACGACCCCGGCCAGTGGGAGACCGTTTGGATCAAACTCCACGAATTTGTGCGAACGAATCATGGGATTGTCACAGAGCCACAGTCAGAGATGCTCAGACAAAAGGTGAAGAGCTTCGGGATTGGATTGATTGACAGACAACCGGGACCGTTTGAACTTGGAATTGCTGCAATGTGGGCTACAAACCTCAACGAGAGAGGGCAGGTCGATGGGCGGACGGGCTGGGAGGAGGGCGACCAGGGCAGTGCAAGATTAAGCGAAGTGACACTAGAAAAGCTGGCACAGAAGGCCGAAGAGAAGAGGAACATGCCAGAACAGAAGAAAAGCTTTCGCGAGAGAGTGCCACACTTTGGGAAAGTTGGTTCAGGGGACACCCAAGCGTTCAGATAAATCAAGACAGCAAATGTAGCAAAATGCACGGAAAATGGATCGTTGTGTTCGCAGTTGAAATCCATAAATATTGTACCTTGTCTCTACCTCAGGTCTTGTAACGTCTCTTGTAGAGATTTTCCGGTCAAGATTTTGAACGCCTCGAGGTATCGAACATGGGTGGCTTCAACCACATCCTCAGTCATCTCCACGCCCTGCTTGTTTTTGAGACCATTATCCGTCAACCAGTCGCGTAGTGGCTGCTTGTCAAAACTCTCCTGGCTCTGACCGAGCTTGTAGGCGGATTTCGACCAAAACCTTGAGCTGTCGGGAGTAAGCACCTCATCAACAAGCACAACCTCGTCCGTTTCTTCGTCCAGGCCAAATTCAAACTTCGTGTCCGCTATGATGATCCCCTTTTCTCTTGCATAATCTCGTGCGGTCTTGTAGATGCGAAGCGACAGTTCTTCTATTCTTTTTGCGTACTTCTCGCCCACAATGCGCGCAGCTTGTTCTGTTGAGATATTCTCGTCATGCTTACCCAGCTCAGCCTTGGTGCTGGGGGTGTAGATGGGCTCAGGAAACTCTTGAGATTCTTGTAGGCCTTCAGGCATCTTCTTCCCATTTACCTCACCAGTTTTCTTGTAGGAGGACCAGGCGGAGCCTGTGATGTAGCCACGGACTATAGCCTCCACTGGAAATACCTTGAGCTTGCGCACAAGCATACTTCGACCCTTCAATTGAACGGCAACGTCCTTCGGAATTGCGGTCGGCAGGTCGAGAGAAATGAAATGGGTCTTGAGGTCAGGGATCTGTTTCTGGAGATATTGGAACCAATGCACGGTCATCAACGTCAGGACGAGTCCTTTTTCTGGAACGCCCTAGATTTATGAGCCTAGTCAGCGAGCTGGAAGTGTGAGAAGGGACTGCGAGAAGCATACATTCTTCATGATAACATCAAAGGCCGATATTCGGTCGGTAGTCACAAAGAGCAGGGATTTTGAGTCGACATCGTACAGCTCTCGGACTTTACCTGAGGCCAGCAGCGGCAGGACTTCTCCTAGATCTGACTTGACAAAGGCCATCTTGAGGACTTCTACTGGTTAATCCGCAGAATATTGTTCCTGCGGGGGTTAGGTATGGTGCAAGAAACATCCAAAAGAAAAATGCGAAGCAAAGGAAGCAAACATGCCAAACAAACCAAAATCTCTACCGAAGTTCAGCCAATCAATATGTGCAGTCCATTGGCACGCTGCGCGCCAAACGACGCGCCATTCCCATTTCATTCGGACTCAATATCGCATCGTTGTTGATTGAACAGCGTCTTCAGAATATAGCAATGACCCTCAAACAGAGCATTGCACTTGGCTGACGCAACCAGGCTTGCTGGTTGTCGGCTGTATTGCAACACTCAGTTTGGTCCCACGTCAGTCGCAACATGAGTCGGTATCTGACCCCAGCAAAGATTACGCTGCTGGTTCTCGCTCTACTCTATGCAGAGGATGTAGTCCCGACCAAAGAAGCAACAACCGTGCTTTCCTTTATCCTCTCCCAGATTGTGCCATCGAGCAAGCATTCTCCATTGTTCCGGGAAAGCACAGAGTTCGAGCATGCTCTTCCAATCGATGAATTCGAATCCACATTATCCTCACGCCCGTCTGCAAGACCTGGCAGAAGCCTATTTGATTTGCTGCTGAAGAGACTATGGGCTATTGATTGTTCCCATGCTCTCGACGCCTTCATCGCATACCTCCCTTCGCTTCTGACGAAGTCCAGAGAGCAGTTCCTGAGGGACCGCGAAAGTGGAGAAGAATCTGATCAAGTCCACGGACGCATTCTCAGAACATCCCCCTTGGGCGCTTTCATTCGTCGATGTCATTTGGAATACACAAGGCTGCAGTTTCAAGACAGCATCACTCTTTGGCAAGATTTCATTTCTTACAGACTCCCGACTCGCGAGGCATATGAGAGGAAGAACCATGCAGGCAGCCGAAATGCCCTGGACTCGAACCTCACCGAGCTGGGCCTTGACTCATCACATCCTCTGGCCCAGTTAATGTACGGAAGACTTGCTGAAGAGGAGCAAAAATATCACGGCGCATACAGCATGTACGATGTCGAAAAATTGATGGAATTTCAGGTCTCCGAGATCCAGCGTGTTGGTGGGAGACTGCCTGACGGCATGAGATTGAAGCTTCAACAAATGTCCAAAGCCGGTACTGTCATTCCAAAATTGGGCAATTATCTCAACTTCCTTGACTCATGGCGAGGTGGGGATTACTACTCTGCCTTCGACAATCTGCACAGATATTTCGATTACGCAATGCAGACACGAGAGAGAGCAATATATCAATACGCATTGCTCAACCTTGCCATCCTCCAAGCAGACTTCGGATGTCACGCGGAAGCACTTTCTGCGATGCAGGAAGCCATCGCCACCGCGCGAGAAAATAAAGACACCACATGCCTGAACTTCTGCATGAGCTGGGTATACCATTTCGGGCGAACGTTTCCCGGCGAGATGGACGCCATACGCGATAGTGGCATTCTCGGTAGCGAAGTTGAGGGACTTGCATTTCTCAAATCTCGGGCCAAGGACGCGGAGATGTGGAGTCTCTTGGGCACGACTCTGTTGAGTGAGGCGAAGCTTGGTATGCAGTACGGAGACAGCCTTGCAGGCGTATTTGAAAACATTGCCAAAGCATCGTATCTTAGTGTCGTACGATCAACTCAAAGTACCATCGGGCCAATGTTACTCATCAAAGGTGCTGCATTTAGCAGGATTGGCCTTGGTCATCTGAGCTGGTTCTGCGGACAAGCGTTTCTGCAGTGCCACTCCAAGGACGCTCCCATCGAAGACCTGTTCAAAAACTATTGTCGAATCGCCGGGCTTTTGGTCCAACGTGGCAAATACGTCGAAGCTGAACAAATGCTGGACAATATCCCGTCGCATGTGCATCGGCGAATGAAGTTCCAAAATTCCCTAAACTTCTACTCCGGGCTGTTGAGGGCTCGAAGGCTGATACATCGGGATAATCTCGATGCCGCAGAGCACTTGCTTGATCGACTGAGTGGACAAGGGCCACCAGATGTGAAAGTTGCATTTTCCCTGTCGTTGCTCGGGATTGAGCTGCTCATCCGTCGGGGTGTTCTCGACCAGGCTCTTGAAAAAGTTGAGGATTTGATACAGGGGGCGGATAAAAGCCATGAAATCAACGACATCGCCGTGCAGACCCGGCTACTGAACCTCAAAGCACGGATCTTAACTGAGAGTCGACACTCACTCAAGGGCTTTTCACTTGTTATGCGCGCAGCACAGATTGCATATCGAGGAAGAATTCTTCCCTCGTTATGGACATCGATCTGTCTGCTTGCCACAATTCTCAACGACCTCCGCGAATTCCCTGCCGCCGCTGAACTCTTACAATCAATAATGCCTCAAGTGCTGGAATGTCAGGACTGCGAGCTCGCCGCCCACTCATACTCAGTGCTGGCAGATGCAAACATGGGGCTTGCTGGCTCATCATCAGGACCAGACAAGTCTTCAGCAACAAAGCAGAAGGAGCTCATTAACAAAGCAATGGAGAATATCGACCATGCGCTTGTGCAATATAGGCACATTGAAGATTTACAGGGACAGCTGGAGATGTTGAAGAAGAAGGCAACAATTATGCACTGGAGGGGGGATTTGGTGTTGGCAAACGACACGGCGACGCAGTATTTGGGGTTGAAAAAGGAGTACGAGGCCCAAAATGTTTGAAGATTGCCCGTCAATCGCCGGAGGACACACTGAATTCTCGAGTATTGAACTGTATGAAATAACGGGTGTGGTCTTGTTATGCCCCAGTCAGGTTTCCACTTCGCTTCCTCTGCATGCCTTATGTACAAGTCAGGTCCACCATGACCAACGCAGTCTTTTAAGCCAGTCCAGCGCACATAGGTATTCATCTTTCAAGTTTGCTTGTCCCTATTGTGGTAGTTGACCTTTTCGTTCCAGAAGAGAGTCTTGTCACCGTCTCCCCACCAGAAGTTTCTAGATCGGATGTTCTGGTAAGGATATTCAACCCGCTCTTCTAGGGGAGGCATATGTTCCCAATGCTCCCAATGTTCGTTCCACAGATTCCAGGCGTTGATGCTTGCTAGAACGAGACATGGGATGACGACGCTGTAAGGGTGGTTAGAAATGCAATCTCGTGGCATGCGATATCTTGGGGTTCCATACTAGATTGAGAGTCTACGCCAGAGATCTGCATCACGTTAGCATTCTCTGAGGGACTGGAAGATGTCGGAACAGAAACATACCACTTGTAGCAGCAGCATGGGCTTTCACGGCAGCTCGTTCTCGGTTGAAGGCGTTGTCGGCTGTTCCGACGAGTTTGCTTGTTCCTTGGCCAGGTGGGCTTGGAACACCACTGCTCGCGAGGCGTCGTTGGAAGGTCGATCGGAAAAGAGGTCGAAAAGCAGGCGAACGCAGCTGCTGCTGCGCAAGGCGCAGGCCAATACGCTGGAAGGACATTTTGCACGTTCAATGAGTGGAGAGGAGGTTGTCGCTGGCGTTGACTGAAGTTGAAGAATGCAGGTGAGGTTCGGCGCAGGAGCTCTGCGGGAGCTTGGCAGGGCCAATGACGATGGCCTGAGCCGAGCGGTCATTTGAAACGAAGCTTACCGGTTACCAGTGCGCAAATTGGGGAACAGGTGATTTGTTTACGCCGTCATAACAAATAAGCTTTTCCACATCGAGCAGCCGATTGTGAGCTCAATCCGAGCTTCTTTCGAACTTCAATCCTTTCTTCAACTGAGCACTGTTCGACCATCTCCACTCCTTCCAACTTGCTCTGCAGCTCCAGTCCAGCTGGCTCTGGTCGGCCTGTAAACCTCTCGCCTTTACAGACCTGCCATTGCCCATCATGTCGACGACCATGCTACGTACCAGCGCTGTCCGTTCGATCCCGCGCTCCTTCTCCTCCCTCCAAGCTACAACCCCACGAACAAGCGTCCTCAACAATGCCCTGAAAGCCTCGCTGCGGACTTCTGCTCGTCCCGTACGGACTTCCCGTATCCTCACTGTCGCCGCGTTCCAGCCAGTTCCGAGAGCCTTGGTGCGCTACGCTCATAATGCCCACGCTTATGACACCGCAAAGGCGGAAAAGGCACTCCATGAGAAGATTTTACAACCAATTCCCCAGATGGTTTCCTCTGATTCAACCACTCGCCAAGTGACTGGTGAAGTCCAAAGCAAAGTCGCCGATGAAGATGACGTGGACATGATGGGCGGTATTCGAAGTGACTTTGTGGGTTTCCGGCATGCAAGGAACGTCTCGGTTGCCCTTTGCTAATCTCAAGGCGAATAGAACACGATCAAAGAGACATTCAGTCTGGCCTCTGTGCCTCGTGAGGCCCTATATGTCGGTCTGGCGGGTGTCATTCCCTACCTGGCCACATCTCTCACCACCGTCTATCTCTCGTTCGATATTCAATATGCGGCCACCCACGGCCAGGGCTTTTTCATGTCTGGCGAGACGGCCGAGACTCTGCTTCACATCATCGAGCCCATTCAGCTCGGCTATGGTGCCTCGGTCAGTTTTCCCGGGCAAATGCAAATTTTTCTATGATTGACTCGTCATATCAGATCATCTCCTTCCTAGGTGCCATCCACTGGGGTCTCGAATGGGCCGGCTACGGTGGTTTCAAAGGGTATCCCAGATACTCCATGGGTATCATTGCCACGGCCGTGGCGTGGCCAACACTTCTCCTCCCGGCAGAGGTTGGCTTGATTGCCCAGTTCATGGCCTTCACCTTCTTGTATTACAACGATGCCAGAGCTTCCGCTCGAGGCTGGGCTCCCCCGTGGTACGGAGTCTACCGATTCGTCCTGACTTTCATTGTCGGCGCCAGTATCGTTGCCTCGTTGATCGGACGTGGCCAAATCGCTGATTTGGTCACTCGACCTCCGGGACCTGCTGACAGAATGAGAGAACTCAGAGCCAGACAGATGGAAGAGATCGGACCCGAGCCAGTGGGCGGCGATGAAGAGGAAGAGGAAGAAGGCGGCGAGGAGGAAGAAGAGTAGAGGAATTCAAGAAAGCCGTGCGTGAAAAGTGGAGAATCGTTGCAAAACCCGCTGATTGTTTGCAGGGAGCAGTCATTGTACATATCAAAGCCAAGGCAGGCAAATCCGAACATCTCGTTTGTCCTTTGAAACAAGCACGGCGTGTCTTCTTGTTGGCAGTTCGCAATAGTCGATCCATCGAAGCCTTTAGGGGTGCAGAAGCCCATCCGCCCCACAGCGATTGACACGCCACGTCTCAGTATGGACTTTGCAAACCTGTCGTGGGTGATTTCAGGGCCTCCAGTTGATGCTGCTCGGCGATCGTGCGCCCAGGACCAGCTGCCACATGCTTTTCAGGATCGTCGTCTCGGCGTTGCATCATAGCCTCCCGCAGGCACATGCATCCCCGCACTCGAGTTGCTCTCCAGCTTGATGCAACAAACTGCTTGCTTTCCCCAGTCATTGCTGCTTGTTGCACTTTCTGTTCCTGGTTTATGGCTTCGTGACATCTGCGTGAGCTCCGGTCTTCCATGCTTTCAAGACTCAGGCAACACTTGACTCATCTCGGTTCTCCATCAAGCTCGCCTTTCCTGTCCAACATGGTACTCTGGCCCTCGAATCTACTGTTGCGATCATGTTACCCACTGACCAGGGCTGCTCTAGGGTGATAAATCAAACAAGACTTTCGTTGGCGCAATCGACAATGGGACCACCAGTACACGATTCCTCATCTTCGACCCGGCAGGCAACCCGGTTGCCGACCATCAAATCGAGTTCGAGCAGCATTATCCGCACTCTGGGTGAGTCTTGCTTGGGTTACCGAGACCTGCTTTTTCCAAATCGACGTCGGTACCCTCTCTGTAGCATTCGTCTCTCTTACTCCTGTCCAGCTGGCATGAACACGATCCTCAGGACCTTGTCTCCTCTGTCTTGACTTGCATCGACGAAGCATGTACCTCCTTCACCTCCCAGGGGTACTCCCTCTCCGACATAAAAGCCGTTGGTATCACAAACCAACGTGAGACGACTGTGGTATGGGATATCAAAACCGGGGAGCCACTATACCGCGGGATTGTGTGGACAGACACGAGGAGCGCGCACATTGTTCGCGAACTCAAACAGAAAAAGGGGGCAGACGAGCTGATGGACTTGTGTGGTTTACCACTGTCTACATACCCCAGTTCCACCAAACTGCTCTGGATGCTAAGCCACGTTGACAAGGTAAAGAAGGCATATGAAGAGGGAAGATTGGCGTTTGGGACGGTCGACACCTGGCTCGTATACAAGCTGAACGGTGGCGTGGAAAAAAATGTGTTCGTGACAGATGCCACGAACGCGAGCAGAACTATGTGGATGAACATCCACAATCTCTCCTACGACGACAAGCTGATCTCTTTTTTCGACCTCGACGTCAAAACCCCGAAGCTGCACCTGCCGAAAATCGTCCCCTCGTCAGATCCCAAAGCATACGGCACCCTCGCCCTCAGCAAACTCAAGGGAGTCAAGATCACGGGCTGCCTGGGCGACCAGTCCGCCGCGTTGGTGGGACAGTGTGGCTTCTCCCCGGGTCGCGCAAAGAACACATACGGCACGGGGTGTTTCCTCCTGTACAATGTGGGCGAAAAGCCCGTGATCTCGACGCACGGCCTCCTGGCCACCGTCGCGTATGACTTCTCTCCCCAGGGAATCAAGCCCGTCTACGCGCTCGAGGGATCCATCGCGGTGGCCGGCTCGTCCGTCAAATTCCTCGTCAACAAGCTGGGCTTCGGCAGCGAGTCGTACCAGATCTCGGACCTCGCGGGCACGGTGAAGGACAACGGCGGGTGCGTCTTTGTCACAGCGTTCTCGGGCTTGTTCGCGCCGTATTGGTACGACGATGTCAAGGGCACCATCTTTGGCTTGACGGGGTACACGGAAAAGGGCCACATCGCGAGGGCCACGCTCGAGGCGACGTGTTTTCAGACCAAGGCGATTCTGGACGCCATGGAAAAGGACGCCGGCGTCCATTTGAAGGAGTTGGCCGTGGACGGGGGCATGAGCAATAGTGATTTGTGCATGCAGGTGAGCACATAATACCCCCTTCCCTTTTCCCTTTTTGAGACTGTGACTGAATGGCCATACTCTGCACAGACGCAGTCAGATATCATCCAAATCCCCGTCGACCGGCCCAAGATGCGCGAGACCACGGCCCTGGGGGCGGCCATCGCGGCCGGGTTCGCGGTCAAAGTGTGGTCGTCCTTTGACGAGTTGAAGGAGATCAACGCCGAGGGCAGGCATTTCTTTGAGCCCCAAATCTCCAAGCGCGAGAGCGACAGGCTCTACAAGAAGTGGAACAAGGCCGTCGAGATGTGTCGCGGCTGGACCGAGGAGGACGAGGACGAAGAGGAGTGGGCTCGGGAAGACGCTGGGAAATCGTGAACGAGTGCAATAAATACAGCGCAGGGGTTCTAAAAATGAAGAGAGAATTCATATGAAACACGGGCTTTGATTTCTATTGACTTTTTTTTGGACAATGGTTTCACGACGCTGCATGTCCATTGATCTGTGCTCCTTGGTCGGCTTCGTACTTTTCAATCCGCGCCTCCCAGTCTTTCCGCATAGCTTCCATCTTGTCCCACACCTCTGCTCCTGCAGCGACAAAGTTTTCGACATCTTCTTTGGTCGCATCAGTAAACCCGGTTTTCCGTCCTAGACTCCCGCCCCACCATTTGTCCTCGAAAGGCCTGCCGCTCCCGTTGAGGCCCCAGCCGGGGACATCGGTCACTCGAACGTAAGAACGGCCTAGACGGTCGGTCGATGACCCCCATTTACATGGTCCGCCGTCTCCGTCGCCGGTCGCTTGGACCGCTTTGTCTCTGATGTCCGCTAGGGATGCGAGAGCGAGCCACGTAGCTGATGCAGCCCCGAGGTAGCTGGTTACGTTTGCCCAGGGTGAACCGCACCAGCGGGCCAGGTAGATACCGAGTCGGTAGCACTGGTGGACAATCCAGTAAAGGCTGATTATCGTCGTGGTGCAGATCCCCGGGTGCGACACGTGGAAGGTCGGCTCGGAATGTACTGGCCGCTCCCACACGGACTCTACGGTTCGCAAGGGTGTTGTGTATTCTTTGACGTGTTTGGCAGTCGCTGGCTGCTCAACCGCGCTCAGTGCTAGCAAGTCTCCCATGCGCTTGGTGTGTTCATATGCGGCGGCTGATTTTAGTCCTTGGTGGTCCTCCGAGCTATAATGTCGCCCCGTGGCCTCGATGGAGGTCGACCAGACGATCTTGCTGCGTGACTCTGGTGCGCATGCTCGAAATAACGGCATGAGCCAATGGACCAGCATGTAGTGCCCGAACACATTGGCGCAGAAGACCTCTCCCAGGATCGGTTCCTCACCGTCAAAGGTCCCCGGCGGGAACTGCGGTTTTGTCACTAGTCCGACGAGACCAAGTTTGAACGTCGGCCATGTTGTAGCCTGTCTAATTCCCGTCAGGACCGTCCAGATCGTCAAGGGCCAGTTAAGGCCAGACCACCCTCCTATACCAGCATTGAGGACTATCGCGTTGATATGCGGAAGGTCTGAGGCGAGGAGTTTGCGGCTGAGGGCGCGGATGGAGAGAAGGCTCGTCAACTCGACGTTTTCCGATTGGAAATAGATCTTGCGACCGGAGGTGGGGGCACCGCCATGTCTGGCGAGGTGTTTCTCGAGGGTCGAAAGAGTCTCGGCGCCCTTTTTGGCGCTTCGAGTAGTGAAGATGATGGTCAGAGTGCCATGGTCGCGACTGTGAGCAGCAAGGTACTCGTCGATGAGACGACAGCAGGTACCCAGCCCTAGACCGCTTAAGCGAGGACACGCAGTCTCAAGTCAGACTCATGCCCGATTGGATGGAGTGCGGTGGTAGGGACGCATGCTTACCTGTTTGCGCCAGTCACTAGGACATACTGATCGTTGCTTGTCATTGATCCTGGTCCTTGAGTTTCCCTGGAGAAGAGCAGTCCATTGCGGGAGGTCTCTTTCTGCCTGCTTGGGGGATTGAGCGAGACACTTTTGGGTTCAGGGCACAATTAACGGCGTGGCGCGACTCGGCTCGCAGCGTGTGGCTTACATAATCTCGACATCAAGCCATTTCCTATTCTAAGAGTCCGGAGACACAAGCACAACAGAGAACTCCTGTCAAGCAGAGAATGTGATTCATACGTTATAACATAGGACTAGCAGTCACAAAATACCCAATCCTTATTCTTTTGTCGTTCGAAGACCGGCCTCCCACGTGGCGGTGCGATCTACTCCCCATCCATAAGAGCTGCTGTCTTTCGTTGATGTCCGACGCATGTCTCGTTTATACTTGGTCGTGTATGCTCCTCCCGGAGTGGCTCGGTGCAGGACGGCAGTGTTATCCCACATGACCATATCGCCGTTGTTTTCCCAATCCACAGTCAGCAAGTATTTGTCCTGCGAGACATGGTCAAGTAACTCGTTCACCAGTGGTCTGCTCTGCTCAATGGTCTCCCCGTCAAAATGATGTGCATACGTTGTGATATACAGGTTCATGCGCCCTGATTCCTCGTGCACCTGGGCCAACTTATGCCGCGCCATTGGAATATCCAGAGGCTCGAAATCTGCAAATGTGTCTGGGGCCGCCAACTTTCGGTTATGGTAGAGCGAGTTGTTGCAAACGAGTGGGTCAATGCGTTGTTTCATCTCCTCGGAGAGATTGTCATACGCGGTTCGGGAATCGAGGTACTGGGTCGCACCTCCGGTGCCCTTGGGAGGAAGCTCGACGGCGCGGAGGAGGGAATAGTGTGCACGGCGTGGATTGTAAGCCATGTCTGCGTGCCAAAGGCAATTCCCTTTGTTCGCTCCGACGCGTGCCGGCTCCAGCTCAGTGAGCACATTGCCATTCTCATCCAGGTTCGATACATCGAAGATCTCAGGCTGCTGGGGAAACCGCATCCTGCGGCCAGCCTTCATGTGTGCTTTGACATCATACATCTCGCCGAAGTTGGCGGTGAATTCAATCTGTTGTTCATTGTTGAGGTTCGCGCCGCGGAACACAAGCACACCATACTTGTTGCACCCCTCTCGTATCTCGGCCGCTGTCTCTTTCGAGACTGTCTTCGAGAAGTCAACACCATGGACTTCTGCACCGAAGGTCGGGGCGAGAGGAGTAAAGGTCAGAGTAGGCTCGCGCTCGCGAGTAATCATCATGCGGGAATACGAGGAATCTCAGAACTCAAGAAGAAAAGGCGAGGATTCACGACCAGCGAAAATGACGGCCTGTCTCGATATATGAGAGCCTGACAGTGGTCCACCAGACCTGTGCTGCGTATTCTGAGCGGAATGTATGCTGCTGCATCCTATCTTTTCTGATATACTGGCCCAGTCCTGCCCAAGCGGGGTTCATACTCCCTGTTGGAGACCTCGGCCCGAGCTCATGAGAGAAGACCATTTGCAGGCTTCGTTTTGGGATGTCAGTCGAAGTTGGTTAGGATAGTCCTCGGGACTATGGGGGTTTGAGGAGGTTAAATGCTGCTAGAGATCGCGGGGCCCCGCGGGTACTGAATTCCGTGGAGAATGCAACCGAAAGCACCTCCCCTTGAAGGTGATTGGCTCTGTTCAAGTCGTTGATCTGTTCAGAGATTGCCTTGCCCTCTTCTCAGATGCGAGAACGATCCTCCCTTAATACCACTTCCATTCCACCACGCACGTTGAGGAGAGAGAGCCACAACACCCTCGGGATTTCCCGATGCAGAATGCACTTTGAGGCGGGCCAATTGCAATACAGGAGAGTCAGCCTCGCCCTCTACGACGAACGCCAGTCTTGAACGTTTGAATCTCAAGATTGACGTTCATATTCTGGATATCTGAGAGGTCAGAAGCTTCTCTCTATATGCGTTCAACTGTCCTGTATTGCTTTCCATAGATTACTGTGGAGAAATGGCACCTCTATCAACCTCCTATCCGAACACTCTTACCACTGTCGACGAGCACATGAGCCATTCTCTTCGACGAGAGCTCTCATGAGCCCCAGCCGGGACTATCGGCCTCATTCCATAGTGCTGTATCCATTCCCTCCCGACCAAATGCGTGTCTGGCTTTCCTTGCTCGAAAAGTTGAAAGCGTAGTCTCGAAATCTCTTGGCAAGAGAGTCGGACGCAGCTTCTGTATCATCACCACTGCCAGGCGAGCAGCGTGCAGGCATGAGGTTACTGGGAAAAGGGATCCAGCAACACAGTCTGGCCAGCGGCAAGGCTAAGCCATGGACGACCACACTGCACACTACCAGGAACCAGACAATTACCTGCATGGCTTCTTGAAGGTACTGTATATCCCCGAGTGCCGTGCCTTTGTCATCCTGGACCAACTCCTCAAGAAACTCCACGGCAATCAGCAGATAGAATACGGCTGAGACCCCGATGGGACCAAAGAATCCGACAAATATTGCCTGGAACATGGTTCCAATCTCAGTTACCTTGTGCTTCATGAGCAATATCGCTGGTAAGCGCCGAAGGCAAAGAATTAGGACGCCCAGTGCCAATAATCTCCCAAGGGAGACGATGTTGTTTGTTGCGAATAAGGCCCACGGTGCCACAGCACCATACCAAATGAAAATTGAAATGTTGACCAACATATCGGCAGCAGACCAGAAAAGCTCGCTGCAAGCGTCCTGCTCGAATCTGTAAGGTAAGCACGGCTCAAAGGTTTCCTCAAACTCCACTCCACACTTACTGGTCATCCCACGCAAATGTACACCCGGCAACGAAGCAAGCAAGAATATCGTCGGTTCCCAGTATTCCACAGGTTCCCAAAACGAATAGAGATAATGCGATAACATATGTTAAAGAGCTCTCTTCCTCAACGAACCCGCGTCTTCTGGCAGAGAAGAACAGCTTTCGTGCGGCGTACCCGACCCCAATACCATATACGACGCTGAAAATCACAACGTACCCCCAAGTGCCACCGAGCCAAGATGTGAGCATGGGTAGCTGGATACCTTGACCCTCAGAATGCTTGATCCAATACAGCGCAAAGAAGAGAAATGGATAGCCGAGGCCATCGTTCAACCCTGCTTCAGCTGCGATGAGTCTCTGCAATGGTTTGGGGGTATTGATCTCTGCAAATCGGCCTTTGATGACAGCATTGGAAAGGACTGGATCGGTCGGAGCAACACAGGCTCCAATCGCCAGGGCGTGCACAAAGTCCAAACGAGGTAACATCCACCATATTATGAGGCCCGCGCTAAGCCACATCAACGTCAGAGTTGGCCCCAAGAGGTAGAAAATAGAGCGCCATGCCCTGGAGAGGTAGCGCGAAGGGAGCTGGATGCCGGTGAGGACCAGCTGCACTGCGAGGACAAGCCGGGAGAATTCAAGGGTAATAGAATCTATGTTCTTGTTGTCTCCGCAGCCATATTCGTCTGGACGGAGGAAGCCCGCAAAGTGTGCCAGGACTGCACCGGCGATCAAGGCAATCACTGAACCTGTAAGCCCAAGCTATGCAAAAGATGGGGACCGAGTTGAGAACTCACATGCTTCGGAGAGCAGGAATTGTTGCTTCCATGCATCAGACACTAGCCCGAAACTCAAGAGGAAGCCGCCGAATGCGGCGCATACAACGTTGAAATTTGAGAAAACTAGGCCATTCATGTTGGCATCGAGATTTCCAATGAGGGATTAAAGGAATGGAAAGGGCTGGAGCAATATCCGCCCTGTGGTGATTAAAAAAACGCCCTCTGCGTTGACCATGGCACTCGTACTTAAGGAGCAATCCAGCACATAAACCCCCACACTAATCTTATGCGCATGATGAAGGCGCCTGACGGGATCAGGCGGCTAAAGATGATCAGCATTGACAAGAGAGCATCGTCCATGCTGATCCGGGAAACGGCTCGATGATTGTTGTTGATGGCCAGGCCAGGCCCTTTGGATGTCAAGATAGGTAAGACCTCGACTGATTGGGAGCCGAGCAAGGCCGAATGTGACCAATGGATTATGAAGAATGGAATCTCTCATCACGCAGTCGCCACAGCGCTTTCCTCGCCATCCGAAAGACGTTACAAAGCAGATCCAGAGAGGTGTGGAAGCAATCTTGGGATCCGGTAAGACGGAACGTCGAAGCCCGCGCCATGGATCTGTTCGCGTTCGCACATGCATACGCTAGTTACTGATCGCTCGGCGGGTCACCAATCGTCGAACACATCTGGTCATGGGATCTCGAGAGGATCCATTCGGTCGGGTATCCCAGAGGCGAAGAATACTCTGGTCTATCTCTAGCTTCGATGTCGTGCTCTAGCTGGACGGACTATCATGTTGAGGGCCCAACTGCTAGTAGAAACACGCACGTCACCGAATTCATATTGAAACGACTTCTAGGACTGCTGAAAAATTACTACTAGACCACGACATCCTTCTTTAGTTGTCACTTCGTCGAGAACCGGCCGAATTGGCGTCTATTTATGTTTGGGTCCAGTGAAATAGGGCTCGCGTTCATCCGTCCTCAACAAAAATGCGCACAAAAAGCCATCCCACTAGCTCTCGTCGGTGTCGCATACATCCCTACGAGAGTGAAGGCAATGAGACGCTCCTGGAAGAGTTTGAAGAGGACGAAAACAACTATCGACCAGGACAAGCTGTTCCGCGTGACCCACACGCCGCTCTGCCAGTCTATGAAACGATTCATGAGTGAGTCCGAACCACAAGCCTATCTAGGTCCCAAGCAGAGCGTACAACCAGGCATGGGCCTGCCTTTGAGACGATGCTGTTGACATTAAATTGGACTGACGGATGGCAGAATTCGGAGACTGGTAATTGCTTGCATGGGTGAGTAAAGCTATCGACCATACTTATATTGAGATTTGGAAGCCTAAGTTCTGCAGTTGATCCATACACTTTGGAACAATTGAAGGAACCAGCGATGAACGAGTTGATTGTGAAGCCCTTTGTAAGTAGGATCTACGATCCAAAAGATGTATCTACAGGTAAGAGAGTACCGCCTTGCAATCCCACAAGAATAAAAGCGTGTGACGTGAGGGAAACTCCTTTTGCTTCTTCATTGCCAATTTGCGCCTTTCGGGCGAAGAGAAGTTGACTGTACGCGCAAGTATACTGCCTGCTGGTGAACCGCATGCAGTTTCTCCGTGAGCAGTCCTCTCAAGGGCTCAATCAATCTATCAGCACCAGTCGCGCCAATCTCTGTGAGCTGGTAGCCATCCAGCTCCTCCGCCGGTTTAACGACGACCATATTGGCCCTGAAGGGCTTCTACTCTTGGCCAACATTCTTGTCGCGGGCTTTGAGCCTTTTCAGAATGCGCCAGAAGCGGTCTTGCGCGAGAAGCCTCTTCCTGCTCACTGGCCTGTGCAGAAGCGAGGAGGCTACGAACGAAAACTCACAGCCTTGGAGATCGCCATAATCTCCACAAGCAAGCTTTTCCTCAGCTCTCCGGCAGCTCAGAAGGTGGTGGATGCTGTGTTTCGAGGGCAGATTGTGTACACACCTCTCTCCTTCGTCGACATCTTGCCAGACCATTACAAGCACCACCCGATCTCACTATACGACCCTCGTAAGGCACCTATTCTCAATCAGTACCGTCTAATTGTTCCCCGGATTCGCATCATGCTCGAAGTGGGCCAATTCGCAGTCCTCTTGATGCTATACATGCTCACCATGACTTTCTACCAACAGTCACGTTTGACTGCCTGTGAGATTGCATTCTGTTTGTACACCACTGGCTGGATCTTGGAGGAGTTTGCTGCTATCATCGAGCATGGATGGCAGGTCCACACGCAGAACCTCTGGTCGTTTCTGGACATTACATTCATAGTCATCTACACGGTCTACTTCATCGTGCGGATGTACGCTTTGGCCAGTGGTCGGCTCAATCCAGGTCTCGGGCTCAACATGCTTGCGATTGCCGCGCCTGTCCTTCTCCCACGCCTCGCATTCAACTTGATGCCCGACAACATGCTGTTTATTAGTCTCCGCGCCATGATGAGAGACTTTATTGTCTTGACCCTGCTGGCGGTTTGGTGCTTTGCGGGATTCCTTGTCTCGTTGAAGTGGCTCACTTATCTCAACGAACCCGTGAAACATCATGATATACTCAATTCAGGGACAGTCTCGAAGTGGATGCTGTGGATATGGTTCGGGCTCGATGGCACCGGCATCGAGCGCTCAGTCGACTTCCACCGAGTCCTCGGACCTTCCCTCATGATTGTCTTCGCCTTCCTAGGGAATACCCTTTTTCTGACGGTTCTGGTGGCCATGTTGACCAATACATTCTCCAAGATTGTGGCGAACGAAAGCGCCGAGATCAAATTCCGGCGCACAGTCCTCACGTTTGAAGGGGTCAAGAGTGATGCAATCTTCGCGTATCCGCCCCCTTTCAATGTTCTGGCTCTCGCCGTTCTTCTTCCAATGAAACTCATTCTCTCACCACGGCGGTTCCACCAAGTCAACGTCTTCGCAATCCGCCTGCTGAATGTTCCCACCCTGCTTTTGATCGCTGCATACGAGCGACCGCGGTTCTGGCGGGCAGCCAACGGCGCACCCCAACGTTCACCAAAACACGGAAAACTGACAGAATGGGTCTTTTCGGGGTTTTCGCCTCACGGAGATATTCAGGCAGTATTCGACATAAGGAATCCGCAGGACGCTGTCGAGGAGTACCACGACTGACGTATTCAGTGCATATGGGCGACAAGACGGGCCTTGGTCGGGGCGACGGGGGGTCAGGAATCCTTCCACGGGTCCTCGGACCAATCTGTCAGGCTTCCACTGTGATGTTCAACCTCGGAAGATATGTGAATCGTCAGCCATGTCTCCAAACAGTTTGTTGGGCGACCCCTTAGCCTTCACGCTAAGGCATTTTGGCCCGTTCAACTTAGCTTGAAGGGCCATCATGCGCCAGCACTGTTTCATAGTATACCTAGCTCGCCAACCCCCTCTCCCGCCAGGTAGATTTGGTTTTGAATCAGCTTCGCAATAGGAAATCTCAAGAGGAGGTTCTTAGTCCGTGCCCGAGAGGGCGTAGTCCTATGTGTGTTGCTCCCTACGATAATCCCGCCGGGATGTTTCTGTGTGTCGGCCAAATTGCCCATCTTTATACAGGAAGGTTTGCCGGTGTCGCATAGCTTCCGTTTCCCCTCTCGCTCCGCTTCTTAGTTCTTCACCAATTCACCGACTCACATTGCAATCAGCCGTTCAACCGCAACACCATGGCTACCCTCGAATCATTGTCGATCGAGTTAATTTCCATAGTGGTCCAGTATCTGGGGTGTGGAGATCGGGGCCGCTTCTGTCAAGTCGCAAAATGGTGTTATCAGCTGGCCCGGCCGGACTTCTACAGAGACGTCGAGCTACTCCATCACCAAGTTCCCACCTTTCTTCGAATCATCATCTCTTACCCATATCTGGCCAACTTAGTGAAATCTATACGGCTGTGTGATTCCGATCGAACGGATCCAATCGCCCCAAAAGACCTCGATTTGTTTCGAAAACATCTTGTGGGAACAGGTCCATATGCAGACTTCTTCTGGGCCAACACTATTGTCGATCCAAACAAGCTTCGCGGGATGCTTATCGAAACCATGCTGTCCAAGCTCGTCAGTCTCGAAGAATTCTTCATCAACGACACTATCCCAGACTTTGTGCTCCTGGCTTCTCCTGGTTCGGGCTTCACGCTGCCTCCTTCGCTCAAAACTGTGTATGTGCAGGGGCGTTCGAAGGGGAGTCTAGGAGCATTACATACCATTCTGGCAGCTTCAAAGGTGGTGGATGTCAAGTTGCGATCCTTCCGCCCCGTCCGAGGGATCCCTGAGGCTATTGATCTAAGCTGTTATTCCCTTCGACATCTCATAATCACACACTGTTGGGTCGTTGGGCAAGATCTTCAGCGGTTTCTGCAGCGTTGTTGCCGTTTGGAGACGTTTTGTTATTTTGTTAGCTCGTGCTGCCCACCGCGCAGACCTGCGGGCCTTACAATCGAAGCACCAGATCTAGTGAAAGCGCTCCGACGCAACAAACGGACGCTGCGAGATCTCCACATGGATACCTTTTCTGTCTGCAAGCCCATCAAAAGTCTACGATCTTTTACTAGGTTGGAGCGACTAAGAATTTCTCAGGAGGACCTCGCTTTAAGTTCGGTTTTGCTCTCATATAACGACAGCAACCACAAACACCCTTCTCATGAAAGAGACTACGTGTGTGATGGTTCCTATATGGAGAAACTCCCCCCATCATTGCGCGTCTTGAGGATTGATAGAGCATCCACGGCAATACTGGACGAATTAGCAACAACCTCGACGGCAAAGCTTCCCAACCTTCCGAAGCTGGAGTTCTATTCCCCGGGTTGGTCATTTAACAAAGAAATGATGAAGATTTCACAAGATTCCGGTGTCACCATGAAATTTTTGCGGCCCGAAGACCCTTGTTGGAACTGCCCCGTACACAATTCTTTGCTTGACGAGTGCGGCGACGCCTCGATCCGCCCACGCGGGTTCCTCGGGTTCCCGACCCATGAATACCATACCTAATTAGCCCTGACTATTCGGAATAGTATTATTCCGTGCTAGTTGTTCCTATCCTGCGAGCCGGTGGACAAAATAAGCGGCACAGATTACGTCACACCGTCAACTTTCCACAACTACCTCGTACACTATCTCCTAACCAACTATTCCTCCTCTACCACTCTTTCCTTTACCAATGATGGTTGCAGGATGTCCAGTTACGCCTCGAGAGGAAGAGGAGGCCTTGGATCATACTCGATAGCCTACCATTGTAATGGACAGGTGCGAACAGTGACCCAATTCTGCCAGAACAACAGGGATGATACTACTCAACGTGCAATCTTCAAATGGTGCCGTGTCAAAGGATCGGACTAGTTATCGAGATATTTCTCCTTCTCAACAGCCTCGAAAGCATCACAACTCGCCCTATTCGATAGAGAATCGCGGCCGTAAATCTATCCCGTCCAAGGAGGATTTTGAGACGATTGAAGACTGAATCCTATAGGGTGTTTTTGACCATCCCGTTTGTACCTAGATTGAGATCTTTATTGAGGTCTTTCCTGATAGGCAATGAATCCTAGACACGACTATTCGACGGGCCTTTTACGCGCGAGGTTTACTATAAATGCATCGTATGCCAGAGGCCTTTTCTTACAGCAAAATCGCTCAAAGAACGCCGTGAATACCTCAGCATTCGACGATCCTAGAGCGTCGTTCATCGCTTTTGAGATGAATACTATCTTGGCCGTGGACCACGGCGTAAACCAAAGATTATCCGGCGTCAAGGTCAACGCTATCATCCTGATTGTATACAGAAGACATAAAACGAAAAGACCCTCAAAAATAAGAGCGAAAAGCGCTTCCACACTTGGGCCGCAGTTGGCCAGAGCTCTTTTGTGCGGCGATTCAAGGAGTAAATGGGTCTTGACTACTTGCCCAAACTAGGACTGCCGAGTCCTCGTAAGCCTGTGGAGCAAAGACACGGTCCATTTTTTTTATGGCTTCAAACCCAGGATGAAATAGGAGATGGCTGTTGGGGCTGTGCTGTGGGAGGGTCGTCGATCTTGAACCAATCACTCACACGCCGCCGGTAAGACGGAACGCAAGGACAAGAGAGTTTTGCAACTTATCCCACGGCCTCCTTGGCCTAAACATTCTCGACATTCTTTCTCCGCGCCCTAAGCGAAGGCGGCGCCTCGACCTAGCACTCTCGGTCCCTTTTCTGACCGTCTTTTCTCCAAGGAGCATGAGCGCGAAGGCACCACATGTGGAAGGTGTCTCCGACAATCTCGATCCAATCCTCGTTCCTAAATTCTGGATTTTGATGACCACAAACCCATACGAGATAGGATAGCTAATTGATTTTACTAATATTCAGCCTCAGGACTCTAATGGTTCGGCTCGGTACGTGGAGTTTGCGATACCGACTGCTCGAGACTGTCCGCATGGTCATTTCTGGCAACGAGTCGTTTGTCACCTCTGTCAGCATCAGTGGATGAAAGAAAGACAAGCATGCTTCTAGAAACGAAGCTGGAGCATACAATATCCCTGCGCAAGCGCTTGGTTGTCTCCCTGTACCATGGGGTCTCAAAGATCTCTGAGATAGTCAGTCCTGTGTTCCGCAAGTCCTCCATCACGGATGGCAGCTCAGTCCTGCTTCACGCAGCGGTATGACTTTCCATACAAGTTGAATCACCCATGTGGCGTGTCCACTCATACGATTCCCAAGACCCAGCACAGGTGCTGGATTTCTCCGTTACTGATGACGCCCGGGGTGAAGTTTTGCCCATCTGGTCTGCTAGTCATCCTCCGACACCCTGGATGACCTCCTTCGCAACACCAGCAGAGGCAGGAATTGGAGCCACGCACTCTCCTATATAAGCGCCAACAACTGGAATGATCAGCCACTGCATCTGGACCCAGGTACCACGTCTGTTACAGTCAATATGCTGCCCAGACCGCGCAGACCCAGCTTCGCAAATGACCGCTCTGAAAAAGCCTCAAACTATTCCTGATTGGGTATCAGCGATGCCCAGAGATTCCTTTTCTATTACATATCGTCAATGCTTGGGGTCAGCTTCTTCACCAGTCCAACCTTCCGACAAGTAGCAAGGAGGTCAGACAAGTTCGACGTCTGAATTTCGTTTATCACCGGAGAAACAATTCAGGAGCAACGAAATAGACCTCAATCACCATCTCCGGAGCCTCCTCCAGTAGAGCCATATTCAAGGGATGGCCCTGAAACCTGACTCTGCTGAATGTCCAAGGAAGCAACAGACATCCGAAACGACAGAAGACGGCACACGGCCAAGCGAACAATCAAAGCGTCCGGTCTATCAGCTAAGCAAACGAGGCTACGACAATCTTTTGATATTCTTGACGACATTGCTCATTTTTGAAGAAACCGGTGTTCCCTACATCCTTCGAAAGGACTGTGCGGTCGATCCCGACACTCCGAAGCGGCTTCGTCTGCGCCTCCTTCTGTTCACATCAGTCAACGAGAGCTTCCTTGTGGCGCTGTTGTTCTTCGCATTTGGTCAACTTGACCAGCGAATATTCTCAGTCACAATCTCTTCTCCTGCGAAGCCGACTGCATGGGTTTCCTCGACAGGCCTGAAAAAACTCGTACCAGCAATCGCGTCGAAGGTTCTTCTCGAAATGATTCAGTTCGCAGTGCCATCCTCGGTCGAAGATTCGCGGCTTCAAGCATCAGTCGTCAATCCCATCGTGTTCTTCCCCGTCCTGCTCTTGACCTTTGACTTCACCGTGTCGATTCTCATGGATCAGCTTGGAACTTCAAGGATCACGGCGTACTTTGAGCAGTTCAGGATGGAACGCAAGATCCTCGTCCCCATATATTGGTTGTTACTTACGGAAGTGGATTTCTTGGTCCGCTCACTGTTTCCGACCAATGTTCTGTCAATATCAGCTTTCCGAGCCGCGGATATCCCCAAATATTTCTTCGCCTACATTTGGGGCCGCCTGTCGGTCTCAACTGGCGACATCTACATCCTTGCGATTACGCCGGTCTTGCAGCTACCAGTCATCTCCATGGCCCTCAGTGTGCTGTTCAGCAACCTTGCCTTGCTGGACTTACTTTCTGCGGCGATTCCCAACCTCGCGAAAAACGACGTCGTCTCTGAAAGCGTCGAGGGTGCTCTGCGAAAGATGGCGGGGGGCTTCACGTTCCACGCGGTCATGTATAGCGTCTGGAGGAATCTCAGCTTCGCAAGCATTGCGCCCACGCTTCTGGCCACATTTGTCGAACGGACGGATCAGGATTTTTGGGTCACCATCCCTGGTATGGGGCGGAGACTGCTGAAGAAATATGCATACGCTGCATTCTTGCTCTATATGCCTCTCAGCAGACTCGTGCAAGTTGGCACTGACGCCATCAACGCGAGGGTGTTGGGAGGAGTTGAAGTCGTTCACCTTCTCGAAACACACAGCCCCATCGGCTCGGCGCTGGTGATTGTATTCTTTGGGAGCCTGAACACGATTCTGGCGTGGACCGTTGGATGTATGGTGGTGGAATGCATACCATATGCAAGCCAGATTCTGTGACAGGGTCATGATCTCTGTCTGTGTGCCAGTCAGGGTACCAGGATCAGTACCAGATCCGGTATGGGGAATCGGTGCGGGCCCGGTGCAAGAGCTAGGGCTGGTGATGGGGCGTCGAGTGTCGAGCGTTCAGCGCTTGGACCACCGCCCTATGGACCCAGGCGTCGGTAGACCGGTGTAGAGCGCATGCTGATTTCATCGTCGGCGCTCCTCCTCACAGGTACGAGGCAAGCAGGGCATGCCCAGTTCAAAACGTGGGACGGGTAAGAACAAACACGTTCTGGTTGTAAGGAGTTTGTCTTTGCCTGGTGGCGGGATTCCTCTCACCACAACCACTGTGAATAGTTGTCACGTTCGAAGCAACCCACCACGCTACTACTGTACTGCCCTCTCACTACTCTTACCATCCACTCTAGCTAGCCTTTCCCAGAATTTCCGTCGCAGATGAAACGTGCAGTGCACCGGACCACATGTCCAGAAGCGAAAAAGACCCGCCCACCCACCTGGGAGCTCCTCCCTCAGTCGGATCGGGAGATAGCCTCGTCCAACCACGCAGGGCGGTCCGGTAAGACGGAACGCTGACTTGGTCCCCACCATCAGCGCCCCTTTTGGCATTACTGGCTCGTCCTGGACTTTTTCTTTTGCGTGTGCCCCCCCCCCCCCTTCCTGTTTTCTCCCTTCACGCGCCCCTCGGCTAGTCAGATACTAGAACTGGTGGCGAGAGGTCCGCAGGGACCTACGAATACTCCGTACCTACCTATTGGTCCACATGTTGTATTGGCGGTATCAAGCGTACGAGTACGAGTACGGTACGAGCCAGAGAAGAAAGCGAGGAAACATGCGTTGCTCTGTTGTGCTGTCTTGGTGCTGGGTACCCTGTACGAAGGCGATCAATCCATTGCACCCAGCGCACCTGGGAAATACAGTCAACGATGTAGTATCTCGAGTGTCCAGAAGCCATTTCAAGCAATAGCAACTACCATTATCGATGAGCAGTCGCAAACCAACACGGTGTGATGAAAGTGGACCGTCCATTCTATTATCAACCCTTCGCTTTCGCTTCCCTAGAAATAATCAATAATGTAGGTCACCTGCCGCCGACTCGCTATCAAATGTCCTTGATGAATCCGACCTCGACGAGCTTGTCCACGGGGATGTTCAGCGCCTGGACCTTGGTCCGCGTGTTCTCCCTGACCCACAGGAACGCCTCCAGCACGGCCCTCCGGACGATGTTGGTGCGCGCCTTGACGCGCAGCTGCTCCTTGCCCACGATGTAGACGACCTGCTTGGCGAAGGCCTGCTGCAGCTCGGCCAGCCGGTCCGTGTCCGTCGGCTCGAGCGACGCGTTCTCCGCGTTCACGGCCTTTTCGCCCAGCACGACTTGCTTCGGCCCGTGGCCGTTCATGTGGTCGCCCGCTGCCTGCGGCGGCGGCGTCTCGCTGATGTCGGCGACGCCAGGTTCGTGGGCCAGGAAATCGTGCACCTGGTCGTGGAGCAGCAAGCCCAGGTTCTGGCTGACCACCTCGTCGTTGTAGCCGTGGCGGATGATGACGCGGTAGCAGTTGGGCATGGGCTTCTTGCCGTCGCCCGCTCCGGTGCCCATGAAGCAGCGGATGATCTGGTACCGCTCCTCGGCGGGGACCGAGGGGATTTCCAAGGGCCGCAGGTGGAAGAAGATGATGACGTCCGGCGCGGCGTGGAACTTCTGGAGGAAGTGGATAAAGGCCGTCGGGGTGGTCGACGGGGCGCCCGACTTGTCGAAGAACACGCCGATGCCGTTGATGCGCGTGATCTCCTCGCCGCCAAAGGCCGGACTGAGTCGGAGCTTGCGGCTGTACTCGCTGGTGCTCCCGGTCGGCCTGAAGATCTCGGACGTGGGCACGCGCTCGAACCCCTCTGCCTTCCACTGCGCCTCTTTGCCGAATCTCCAGAGAACGAAGAAGAGCACCAACACGACGGAGATCATCAGGGTGACCCATGCGCCATTGGGAACTTTGGTGAGAGCGGAGGAGAGGAAGACGCCGTCCCAAAGGGCGAATATGAGCCACACGGGCGCGACAACGTAGAGCGGATAGCGCCAGACGATCAAGGCCACCACGGCCACCATGTTGGTGGTAAGGAACGTCACCAGAATGACACAGACTCCGTAGGCGTGACCCAGGTTTGTGGTGTTGGTGTAGACGCCGGTGATGATGACAGTTCCGATCATCAAGAGCCAGTTGGCGATGGGCATGTAGACCTGGCCATAGAAGATCTTGGACACATGTACCACCTTGAGCTGCGGGAAGTAGGACAGTTTCATGATCTGGGTCAACAGTTGGAATGTCGCGGTGATCGTCGCCTGGCTCGCCACAATGGCCGCCAGGATCGCGATGATGAGCGACGGCCAGATGCAGCCTGGGGGCACGGTCTTGAAGAATGGGTTGTTGTAGGCATCGGGGATGTCAGCAAGATAGGCGGCTTGTCCAATGTAGCTCAACAACAAGCACGGATAGGCAAAGTAGAGCCAAGAGAGCCGCACGGCGGGCGCACTGAAGGCGCCGAGGTCTGCGTAGAGAGTCTCGCAACCCGTGAAGGCCAGGAGAATTCCTCCGAGGTTGATCCAGCCCTCTCTTCCGTTGCGGACTAGGTAGTGCCCAGCGAAATATGGGGAGAAGGCCTTGAGGACAGAGGCGTCATGCTTGGCCAAGTTGTAAATCCCAAAGACGGCGTTGAACAGGAGCCACACAATGACGATGGGAGCAAAGGTGCTCGCCAGTTTGGTGATCCCGAATGGCTGTAATAGGAAGAGCACGATGAGAATGGCGCACGAAGATCCGATCACGGTGGCTTGGGTGATGTTGGGCGACACGACCTCGATTCCCTGAATCGCGCCGAGGACAGACTGGGCCGGGGTGAGGACGCCGTCGGCCATGACGAGCGCGACACCGAACACGCCGAGGACTTTGAGGACCCATTGGACGGTCGAAGAGCGTTCCATGAGATTGCGCGCCGTCCGGGCTGGCTTGCGAAGGTCGCCGGTTATGTGACGCTCCATCCGGACCATCTGCGCTTCACGAGGATGGCGGCGGACAATGTTGGCGTATCGAGTCAACAGGGAAAACAGTGCAAAGGTGCCGCCCTCTCCTTCGTCATCTGCCCGGAGAACGATAAAGCAGTACTTGATGGTGACCATGATGGTCAGGGCCCAGATAATCCAAGAGAGCGCACCCACCAGATCTTCGCGGCCTGGGGGAGACGAAAAGGTCGACGAGTAGACGTATAGCGGACTGGTACCGATGTCGCCGTAAATCACCCCAGTGGATTGATAGGCTAACCAAAGGAGTTTCCATCCATGGAAGACCTGAGGAGATCAGCATCGCCATTGTTCATCTTCCAGTTCTCGATGCAAGCGTTGTACCTGTCTTCTTTTGATATCTCGGGAGTCAACACTGCCCGTCTCGGAATCGACGCCAATGTCTTTAACGAACTCCTTTGCCTTGTCTGCTTGCCGCACAGCAGCCACTCCGAATGCTGAGGCGTCCCGGCTTCTAAGAGTATACACTCCTCCGCCGTCACCGCCGACGATGCTCTGTGAGCGGGCAGAGGGCATTGCCTCTGGTGGCTGACTTCCCGAGTCGTTCATGATAACAGTGTTGATTGAACCAGAAGGAATCTTAAAAGGGGTTCACGATGGAGACTGTATAACGGACCTCAAAGGCCACTCTCCCCAAGTGAACACGGAGCACAGAGAACAAGAGACAGGAAGGAGGACGCAAAAGATTAGAACGAGACTTGGGCCTCGCGTCAAATATACTTGTCAAGCGAACAGGGCAGGGACCAGTGCAGTATTCTGCAATGTTTACGCGGTAAGAAGCGAGCAATGCCACGCTCTAGTGGTGATTTGCTGAACTCCACTCTGGTGAGGACGGCCACCGTGTGGAAAATTTTATGGACGAGGAAGGAGAGGAGGGTGATCCATCAGACAAGACCCTGGGTTATCTCACCCGGGCCGCAGTACCATTACTGATGCGATCAAATGTGTCACGTCCACCAAAGGCGACTGGAAGCTTCAGGATTCGTATTGGAAGGAGGGGTGTGGGTGTGTGTGTACACGTTCCAATCTAGGCATTCCCTACCGGTGGAGACCGTTCGCAGCTCGAGCACCGAAGCACTCGGTAGATAACGCAGATGAAAATAGAGGGGGGTGAGGCCAGCAAAGCTGACAGGTCCGTGAGATGCAGCGGCGAAATAGCTCATACCACTTTTAGCAGGCCTCCTTTCTACTCCCCTTGCACGCTACTAGGATGGCTCTACATAGGCAAAGGCTGATCCAGCCACCGTGTGGGGCGAGACCAGTTGACCTCCCACGTGTGATTCAAGTCTGCAGCTACACTACCCTCGTTCTACCAATCTGGTATTCACGATAAGAGAACTATTAGTTAATGTACTGGGCCCAGCCACGGCGAGTACATGGATTCCAATGTGCTAAAACACACACAAAGACCTGGAGTTGCCACCGCTGGGCACTCTCCCACATGTGTCTACCTCAGTGCTCGACGCTCCACGCCAGGAACTAACAGGTTCTCTCCAAATTGCGCACCAAGTGGGCTGGTTCTAAGGCTTCAGCGTGCACTCAAATTGCCACTTTTTCGACTTATGATGGTGAAAGCGATACTTTGAAGGTTCGGAGTCATGCGACTCTTGAGTCACTTATAGACATTCGGCGTCTCAAGGGCGTCGTCGCCGAAACAGACGAGATTTATGGATCTGTCAAGGCTCTAGCCAAGGAAGGCAGGCACATCGATGCAGAAGATTGGGAGCCCTGTCCAGTGGTTGTCCTCCGCTCGACCAGGGAGAAAGGGGAGCTCAATATGTACAGTGTATACGACAACTGAACGAGGATTTGTTTGTTCAAGGCTGCAGAAATGTCCTTACATCTATCCTGCTAGAAACCATCATCCAAATGTTAGCACACAGTTCAAATGCAAATTGATTCTTCGAAGTCTTCGAGACTGGAGCTTGAACGTACCATATTGGACAAGTCGCGCTGCAGCCCAAGAGCCATGGGTCGATACAGCCTTGGTGGTATCTGTGATCGCAAGGAAGGATCCGTATGGTATCATTCGTGACGAAAGGCTGTGTACATATGGGGCATTCTGGCTGCTCTGCTTTGCCAACTGAATCCCGACCAAAGATCACAGGGCTCTCTTGTCTGAAGTATGCCTGGATCGGTCTGATGATCTGCAGCCTTGCTTGACTTGGATTGCTGGGAACT